CACACCCAGAGGGCGTTCCCACTGCGTCTTAAGCTACGCAGCGTCTCGTTCCCTATTCAGAGAACATAGGTTAAATCAGTAACCAGAGACGTTTTGAGACGCGACCATAATATCACAGACTTGTTTGAATATGTGATCAATCATTCCTCAAAAGAGAGATTTAATATATTACCCATTGCAAATGAGAGAGGCTGTATCGAGCTCCGCTTTAGACTTTAGTTGTATTGTGTTCTTGCTTTTGTCACATTATTATGTTTTTGTGTGCAGTGACTCCTCTGGGCCTTGGATATGTCCTCATTCTGTCCTGCTAACAGTCTGAGTGCTATTTGGATTGTTTGGAGTTTTTTTGGGTTAAAAGGAGCAGATTGAGCTGTAGCACAGGGTTTTTCACATGGCTGCATGTTTCCTGCTGCTGGCTTGCCAAGAATATTCAACCATGGCTGTTTCTCCATGTCGTGGCCAATGATTTACCTAAGGCCCCCATGGGATAAGGATAAAGAGGAGACTTTTTGACTGTTTAATCTTTGTGAAAGGTTTTGTCCATCGGCAGATGTGGTTTTCTTGGCTAATATCAGTGAATCACCCATTCCATTCACAGAAGAACAAAAATAATCATTGGACTTTTGCATTCAAATATAATCTGTTGGGCTTCTACAAAAACATAATCCTTAGTGGGCGTTTTGTAGGCGTTTACATAACGTGTTTTTGCAAATCTAGACAGAAAAGATTCTATAGGGTGCAAGCTGTCTAAAAGCTTCAGTAAAGCAAAAGCATACTAATTAAAGCACTGCTGCTAAAAAAATAATTTTTAATATAAAGTAAATAACTATACAATAAAATAAGCATAATCTTGGTCAGTAAGGTTTTTTAATTTAAGGCTTTTGAAAGCCTCTAATCTAATGCGTACCAAGGCTGCATTTATTTGATCAATAATACAGTAAAACATTATTATTGCAGTTTAAAATTACTGTTTTCTATTTGAATATATTTTAAATTATTTATTCCTGTGATGCAAAGCTGAATTTTCAGCATCATTACTCCAGTCTTCAGTGTCACATGATCCTTCAGAAATCGATAATATGCTCAAGAAACATTTATCAATGTTGAAAACAATTGTGCTGCTTAATACTTTTGCGGAAACATGGATACTTTTTTTCAGGATTCTTTTATGAATTGAAAATACACAAGAAAAGCATTTATCTGAAATAGAAATCGTTATAATTGTTGCTATAAAAAGAAACTTACTTTTCTTTTCTGTCACACCCTTAATAAATAAAAGTATTTAATTTGTTAATACTTTTTTTTTAAAACTGGCCCTAAACTTTTGAATGTTAGTTTATAAGAAAAAATCTAGGTAAACTAGTTGACCTCACTAATCAATTAGTCAGTTGCTACCAGTCATCCCTAAATTAAATTCTTTTAAATGTCCTTTGGTAAAGATACTCTCCAACCTTTTGTTTTTATACGGCTTCCTTTCAGTTTAACCAAGAAGGACCTTGTCAATTTAGACTGTAGTTTCAGCCCTGAAGGGCAAAACTATTGACCTTTCCACTTTTTAAAAATTTTCAATAAAAACATAGATTGGCCTAGTTTGATACCAAAAAAAAGTAAGACTGAATGCCCCTTGTTGAACTGCTAGTGGGTCATACTAAATCTTTAGACACTGTCTTAACATAATGGCTATGTTTAAATGCAGCTGGCCCTAGGCAGGTGTTTTCACCTTGTGTCATCCTGACATGACATGAGTAAAATTATAGATGTTTTTGGAGCTGTCAAGTAGCATCATAAATGTGTCATTTTACCTTAAAGGATAGAGTTTTTCCATTTTGATAAGGAACGGTTACATATAATGAAAGAGCTCTCTGTAATGTAGTGAGTTGATGGACTCACCAGATGCTTTGTGCCTGTGTACTTCTCCCCTCGCTCTTGTGAAACTTATGTAATGTGGAGAGTTTGCTTTTCTGCGAACATCTCCAAGGTTAAGAAGCTTTGGAATAGTGGTTTAAATTTTGTGCAAGGAGCAATTCCCTTTAGGCGAGGAAAAGGCTGTTGGGTGGGAGCTGGAAGGCTCATTTCCGTTTAAGGAGGAACTCTTGGAACACAATGCAAGCTGTCAGACCACCCCTCCCAACATTCATTTTCTGGGCACAACAGATGGCGCGTGTACAAACTGGGGATTTGACTCCCTGTGGTCATTGCTACAAGGAACTTGCTGATTGCCTAAAGTATAGGGGGGCTCTGAAGGACAGCAGAAGGAGGAGGAGGAGGAGGAGGAGGAGGAGGAGGAGGGTGGGGAGTGACATATAAACATCACTTTCTGTGCGCCTGACACCTGCTGCCGTGTGGGACACGGTCTGTGCTGCGTTTATCAAGATCAATGACCTCATCTCCAAATACACATCTTTAGCCTGTATTTTTGATGGTGTGTGATGCTGGATCTGCTGGCACTGTGACAGGAACGATGATATGAGCAGGTACACACTTCCCTAATGTGATCAGTGCAAAAAAGCCGGATGAGATGAAGAAGGGTTTGTGTAAGTATAGGGGGAAGTGGTCAGTAGCAGTTGACACTTTGTGATAACATTCAGCCTTCCTATGAAATTCTGTAGAATATTTAATTACATAGAATTTTTTGAAGAAATCTAGTGCTGGTAGCTATTTTACCTGAGTGCATTATGATGTAGCAAATTATATGTGTTGCCAACTTGGGGGTCTTAAAGTTATAGTTTACCCAAAAATGACTCTCTTACTTCTGCGGAACATAAGAGATGATATTTTGAGAAATGTAATTTGTTTTCCATACAATGGCTGTCGATGTTCACCAAACCTGTTTGGTTACCAACTTGATTCAAATATGGTTGCACAGAAGAAAGTAAGTTATAAAGGTTTAGAATGACATGATGGTGTGCAAATGATGACATAATTTTTATTTTTAGGTAAACTGTCTCTTTAACAAGGCACCTAACCCCACCTTGAGATTTAATGTTGGTTGCTTTGATTAAACGTTTCAGTCAGAATAAACCAACCAATTGGAAGGGGAGAGAACTAGGAAGAAAATGCAAATCGAAATTTGATTCAGTGTTTTACAAGCTGCTTTTGACTCAGAAGTTAAAATAAAACAATTCATAGAAATCACATAAACACATCATATTTTATTTTAAATTATATTTATTTATATATTATTATTTAAGCCATTGTTAAAGCTATAAGAAATTACTTGTCTTCACAAAACTATGCTAATTCAGTGTATTTAGCATTTGTGCTCATAGATACTAGAACATTGCATTTGTATAACATTATGTGCTTTACCTTATTAAATGTTTTATTTTTGATATTTGTGTAAAGAAAAAACGAAACTCTTTGCATTGTAGATCAGGTGACTGATCTGTTCAGGTCTCATGTAATGCAGTCATGCTGGCTGATGCTTGACTCGATTTGCATTTCAAATGCACAACATGAGCTATGGAGAAAAAATACAGAATTTTATTTAGTCTTATTTTCTTTATTGATTGACAAGTTGACTGAGAGTCCCTGAGTATTCACTATTTTATTCCACAATATTAAAAGCTATTTTCTTGGTCCCACTCAAATGGGGCCCTCAGCCCTTTGCAGTTTTCCAAAGAGTGTTCCACTTTGGTCATCTAAAGGCCAATTGGCTTTATGCCGAGCGTCACGTGACCAAGCCGGAAAACAGATCACATCGCTTCCGATTCAGGTCTTTTGTATGTGCTTCATGAATTTTTTTGCGGTTTTACTCAAGATAACTTAAAAGGAGCAAGCAAAAATGAGCATAACCAATGCCCCTCGCATGTGCAGATTGATATTTAAAAGTTGTTTTAATTTTTCTTCTTCACACTAACGTTTAGATATTTAAATAGCATAAAACACCAATAACAAAGTGAACTTAGTAGGTTAGCTGATTACCTTAAAAATCCATAGATATCATAGTTAGTTCTTACGGCCGTTAACACTTTCTCTGACAAGCGGATGCAATGAGACCCGTTTTCCGGTTTGGTCACGTGACGCTCGGCATAAAGCCTATTCACAGCGCACAGACAAACACCAACAAACAAGTTGGCAGTTGGATTTCGAATTTTATGAAAAATAACTGTCATGTGTCAACTGTCAACAAACGTGTTTGTTGGTGTTTGTCTGTGCGGTGTGAGTTGGCCTTAATGCATAAACTGGTGAATAGCAGACCTAGCCATCAAGTTCATTCTAGTTGGATCCAATTGAATGCCCTACAGTGTCATGGTCCAGTGGATGGTTTTGCTTTTATTTCTCTGCATCAGGAGAGGCTAAAATTGTTGGCTGACTTTCACTGTTGTTCCATTAGCAAGCCAACATCCAGTTCTTTATTCATCACAGAAATCATTAATTTCATAGGGAGGTTTCCACATTGTACTTCCATATCTAGATGTGCATCTTCTGCCGTATGACAGCATCCGGCAGCTGGAAATGGCCGGCCGTCTGGATGTTGGAATGTTTTGTGGCAGTGGTTCTGTCTCCCCTGTTGGAGCGAGCCAACCTGTAATCTGTCTGAGGTTTTATGCTGGAGAGTCAAGGCTGCATAACACCTAAATAGCATTTTAACCTCAGAATTCTTCCCGTGCTGTGGTCTACTGACAAATGCGGCAGGAAAACATTGGTGAACCCTCTGTGACTTCAGTAGGGTTCAACACACTCTACAAGGCCCTGTTATGACCATGTGGAAAACGCATTACAAAGTAAGCGCTGAATGTAGATGAGTCATTTATTCCTTGAAAAAGCCTTTCGAGAAAAATACTTTCTTGTGGTTCTTCACCGCTCTTCACAAAGGACTACATTGTATTATATTGTGGTCTTAAATCAGAGATAAATCTGTATAGTTGTATCGTTTAAGTCAACATCAGATGCTGGCTTTGATTTTCTGCTCGATAAAATTAAGCGAGTTGTTTACTGCTGGGACAAATGCTTGTTGTGTTATTTTAAAATAATCGTTTTTCTCCTCTCTGTTGCAGGTCCTGGCTCTCATCTCTTTCATCTTTATTGAGACCGTAATGATGTGCTCGCCTTGTGCCGGCGTCTACCTCTTTGAGTTTGTCAGCTGCAGTGCCTTCGTTGTCACAGGCGTCTTGCTCCTCATCTTCAGCCTGAACCTGCACACCAAAGTGCCGCATGTCAACTGGAGTCTAACAGTATGTCGTTCTTATTACCTCAATGATTTGATTTCCACACAAAACTTCAAAATCCTTCACAACATTAGACTTTTAAAGGGATAGTTCATCCCAAAAATGAAAATTCTGTAATCATTTATTCACCCTCCTTTTGTTCCAAAACTGATTTTGCATAGCCTAGCTAAGCATATATATTTTTTTTAATCATTTTAAGTCGCTATTTAAAAATTTGCTATAAAAACAAAACACATTTTTTTTACAGTGCAACTATTTTTCATTCAACCCATTTTTTAATGGCATAATATAAAGGGTGTCCAATCCTGCTCCTAGAGGGTCATCGTCCTACAGATATTAGCTTCAACCAGCTCCAACACACTTGCCAGGAAGTTTCTAGTGCAGGGTTGTCCAATCCTGCTTCTGGAGGGCCACTGTCCTGCACAGTTTAACTCCAACCAAACTCCAATTAAACACACCTGAACCAGATAATCAAAGTCTTAGGGGCCATTTAAACGACACCGTTTTCAACTAAAAACAGAAAACTTTTATGCGTTTTGGCCTTTCGTTTACACGACAATGGCGTTTTGGTGGCCTGAAAACGCAAGCTTTTGAAATCGGGTTTCAAAGTGCAAGTATTCCATGCATAACACAGCGTTTTTAGTCGTTTTCACGGATCCTTGTGAACAGGGATTGTTTTGACAACGTCGTCGTCTGTTTGTGTCGTCCGTTTTTAGTACATCGTTGTCGTGAAAACATACCCTTACTAGGCATACTACAAACTTCCTGGCAGGTGTGTTGAGGCTAAACTTTGCAGGACAGTGGCCCTCTAGGAGCAGGATTGGACACCCCTACAATGCATAATATTTTAAGAAGTGCATGTGATAATAGATAATGAGAAAGCATTAATTATTTGTGGCATAAATGAAACAGGTTTTCTGTTGCCATGACATACTAGAAAAAAGCTGCTCTCTTGTGTCCAGTGCTGCTGAGGAGGAGGCCATACACACGGGGTTCGTATTGCTCAGAATGGGAGCTTGTGTGCTCACAGCTCTCATTAAACCCGCTTCTAGCAAACATGAATTGCTGCTCTTGGGAGATGAATTTACTGATTCACTGAAAGATTAATAAGGCATGGTTCCCTTTGTCCCCCTGCCTATACACACACACTCACACACAAAGCTCAGCATAATTGGACCTCAGTGCTGTGGATCTATTACAGAGCTGCTGTAGAGTTTTATTTCCAGAGCTGTGCATACGTACCAAGAAAAGTAACAGCAACTCACATCCAACCATAACTATCTCATTGCATTATGGTATACGCAAGAATATGTGCTTAACCTCACACAGACAAGAAGAAAGTACCTCTACCAATTTAAGTTCAAATTTCTGTTTTCTTTAATATTTCATTTGCCCCCAGACGTAAAGTAGATGGAGAAAGTTGAACCCTTGTTTGCAAACGGGTTTCAAAAAGTCCTTTATTTATGCTTTTAACATAGCGATTTTGCTTCTCTCATCTGCGTGAGATATTGCCCCACTGTTTATTTATCTTACTTTTTTTTTTCATTTGACATTTCTTTTATCTTGCACTGGTAACAATTCTCCACAAGCTTTCATGCTTGGGGTTGCCAGATGTCTAGAGTTTAAATCCCCAAATTTAAAGAGTTTTAACCTCTTAAATGGATATATTTTAGTGATCTCCATTGCGATATTCTGCTCAAATGATGAAATGTAATAAAGCTAAACATGAATCTTGCTGAATAGATGCATTTACACAAACTTTGTACTGCAATACAAAGTCTTTTTCTTGTTTTAATAGAAAAATGTTCACATATTTTGGAATTATGTTTAATTACTATGAATTCAATTGTTTTAGCTTTTATCATAAGCTTCTTATGGTTTTACCAGTTTTCATAATGTAAGGAGTGTGTTAATGTATATGATAATTATGATAAATCAGGAAACTTGATGAGGTCAAATAAACTGTTGTGAGTATGAAAATGAGCTGATGTTCTCTTAATGTTCTTCTCGTGTTTACTCAACTGAGAACAATCATCATTAATAATCGCAATTATAATTTTTGAGCAAAATAATAATGAGTATCAGTTTAACCATTTATTGTGGAGCCCTAATTTAACCAAGTATACATGTATATAAAAAAAGCTTAGAGCATTACATTTTGATTTAGGACAAGACCTTTTCTCTGTCTTAATTCTTTGACATGCTGCTTGTTTTGGCACTTTTTTGTTTGATTTACAGTGGAGAAATAAGAGGAAATGGTGGGGGGTAAAAGATGGAATGAGATCAGGAAATGTTGAGAGCTGGATTGTGTTGGTCATGGGGGAGATATTAAACAGGGTTTTCGAGATGTCCAGTCGATGCATGTGAGTGTGTACACTCTTGCTTATTTTGAATACTGATGAGTTGGGGTTTTCTTGGTATTGCCATGGCTCATTGGAAGAACTGTGATCTTTATGACCATTTCAGCTGTGGTGGAGCTTTGGAGGTTTTGGACTGAGCATGATCCTGCCAGGCAAACCCCATGGGCTCAGGCCTCTCATTTGTTCTGGAATGGATGCACTTGGGACAGGGGTTTGTTCAGCAACAGCCTTGCTCTCCTGCCCTCCTTCATGTTTGTATCTCTGGCTTTCGTAACTTCACCACTGCTGTGCTTCAGGAACTTTCACATAACACAGCGCTAAAAGTAAACGGTACTTTTTGGTCCTGTAATTGTGGTCTCAGAAGAGTTTTATTTTTCATTTTAAGATAAAACCCTTCCAAACCCAGCAGCAATTAAACTTCTCCCTCTAAAGAGCAGAACTGTGGTGGACGTTTTAGGTCTTAAAATCTTTCTGCGCTAAATCTGTTCATGTCGACTAACGTTGATTTAGTTTAGATGGCAGCAGATCGGAGCGCACACACAAAGCTACTGTAGCTATAGTTTCTTGTGGCAGTTGGTTCCAGAGGGGTTGTGTGGGACGGTCCGTCTATTGTACGGCACCCCTACTCCCACTGAGTGCTTTGATGGTGTGATTCAGTGCCAGGCTCAAAGGGGGCTGGCATGGTGACTGACATTATTGAAAGTGATAGGCCAGTAGAATGAGCGCATTCAGCTCACGGTGGTACGCTGGCACAATTGTACCAATTCACAAACCTTCTCTAACCGCACACATATACATATATACACAGAAAAGCACAGCCAGTATTCGCTAAACACAACTAGAAATAGATGGTGCATTTTAACAGGAGAGGAGGAGAGATTTGACTTTGTGAGGTGACAGGATAATGATTGGTTTTACATTGTGTGCTTTAATGGAATGGCCTCTTTGAGACTTGAGACGCATTGCAGTAAACCTATGATTATGTGTCATTACTGAACATGAGCTACAGGCCGATTGGGAGAGGGTAAAGATGCATTAAAGATGTGCAATTTGGAAATCTGACTCATTAAGATCATCATAAATTATTATTCAACTAACTATGGCTGCACTCGAAAGCTGAAAAAGGATGCCTCCGCAGGCAGCATATGGAAGGTAGGGAGGCAAAATGGCACGTCCGAAATAATCCCATGATCGTGTCACATCCTGTCTACTGAGATACCTTCATCTGAGCGATTTTAGAAGGCAGCATAGATGTATCCTTTACTGCCTATGATATCACACTATCTGGTGCTTTAGATTCAGTAACAGTTCGGCTAAAAAATAAAACTGGCATCTGAAAGTTGCTGTTGTTGGTCAGCTTGTGTGTAAATGTACGTTTTTGACCAACTTTTTCCACTTTCAATGTCTTTTTTTAGTTTTGTAGTAATTAAATATTTGCTTAGTTATCACCAAAGCTCTCTCTATTTTGTAGATCATTAAACCATTATGCTGCCTCGGAAGTCTCTGCGAAATCAGTTTTGAGAGGTACCTTTGGGTGCAAACGCTGCCTGCAAATGCATTGCCCGATAGGGCAGCCATGCAGGCTTTCGGACGCAGCTCTAGATGTAATATTATTTATTTATTATATTTTCTCATATGCTTGTATTATCGGGATGATTTCCCATCTACAACTTCATTTTATAGCGGTGGAAACTACCTGTATAGTGAGCATCAAGGGTCCAGATCAAGGACAATGGTTAATATAGTATCATGCTGTCTTTCCACACACAGAGCATCAGAGGCCCTGTTTACACCTGGTATTAAGATGTGTTTTTGGTCGATCGATCACAAGTAGACGAGGCAGACACATACCTGTTTATACCTGTTTGTATTTTAATCTGTCTCTTTTGTTCACTTACAATCACCTCTGTCCTGATTTCTTCGAGGGGAGGGTCTATGGGCGGGTAAATGTATGGGCTTTTTCAGATCTTTCAATCGAATCAGCGAAATAAGCTTGCGCAGTTTTCATATGAACGTGCCTGGAGATGACGGAAAAACAGACCACGCCAAACTCTGTGCGTGTTTGTTAGAAATCAGGAATGGTGAGAGAACATTGTGCTTGGGAAATTGTTTGTTTTCAAATCAAACTTGGATCTCCAGCCAACAAAGTTTGAATCTGGTCTGGCTAACGCGCTTCCCATAATGTTTATGCGTTAGGTCAGTAGGCGGAGAGCAGGTGGTATTTTTGTGGCTGTTCGAACACATGTTGACCACATGAGCGTTTACACTACGAAAGCAATCCGGTCGAATGCGTTTTCCACTACTCCTGGAAGTGGTCGAAAGTGGGCAAGCTCAAAATGTTTTAGACCCTGTTTACACCTGTTTTTAGCATCATCCACGTGTGATCTGATCGACCAAAACGCATCTTAATACCAGGTGTAAACAGGGCCAGCGAGGCCCAGCACACCAAAGGAAGTTCCAGGAAAAACTTTTAGCAGCTTAATTTAAAGCTTAAATCTCACCACCGAGGCAGATGAAGAGATATGACTGAAACTTCAGGATTCAGGTTATATTGCCCTGCAAACTTGGGATGGATTTTTTTTTTTCACATTTCCAAGATCTATGGGCCTTCTGTTACCTAAAGCAGTGTGTAACTCAGTATTAACGCACCACTGAGAATATTTGGCACAGACCGTATACGGCGCAGAAGCTCAGCTAAGACCCCGCCTAATTCTCTGTGTTTTTACATTGATTCTCTGCTTGGATATGGCTATTGTGCATAAATAACTTTTTTTGGCAACAGTTTGCTGAATGCTCTGTCCCCCATTAACACTCTCTAATGGGTATAGAAAATGTGAAGTCTTTTTTTGAAGGTGATGCTGCCCAAGTGTACACTATTCTACGCATCCTAGCTCAAAAGTATTTATTTCTTCTGAAAAATTCCTTCGTTAACAACTTGGAGGGCCGCAGTGGCTGTTAAATACATCAGAGATGTGAACCCAGTGTGAACACTACATTTCCCAGTTTTAGACCCCTCCTGAGGCCAGTTTGCCTTCTCTACATGCAGTCCGCCAGTACACACACATACACACTCCTGAGAGTGCATTTCAAGGGCACTTATGACTGCTTTTGTTTGTGTACAATTTCATATTACCTGCATTAACTTAAATGTTATATGTAAACCTCCATTATTAGATTTATGATGCTATTGTGCTGTATGTTCATCATTAAGTAATTCTGTGGACTTAGTACTTTAGTTTAACCTCAGGCATATGCTTTGTGTTCTAACACTTAGAATATTTTAAACACGTCAGCAGTTTTTCACATTATGTGTGTTTCAGAGTTTGGTTTGGCTTGCATTTGATCCATCTGTTGAAGTATATGTGAAGGCAAAGGCTGGCTTGGCATGTGTGTGAATGATTGAGACCGTATCCTGGTTTTGGGATATTGTTAGTGTGCTATATTGCGTGTGAGATGGGTATGGTTTCGCTTGAGTGTGTGTGTGGATGAGAGAGAATCATGTGAGACTCCCAGTCTCCCATCATGTCATTGTCACATGGGTGGTCATGCCTAAGTCACGCTGCAGTGCTTATTGGCTGCAGACAGACAAACCACCCAGCTCCTCTCAAAGTGTGTATAATGCAGATTTTAAGGATAAAGAGAGAGAAAAGGAGACTTTAATGTTCTGTAGTGTGGGAAATCTGGATGTTACCTTATTGCTTCAAGGCTCAACTTTTTTTTCCTGCTAGCCCAGTCAAATCAGTAGTTCATATATTTACTATCAATATACGTACATGGTCACACTTTATAATAGGTGTCTTTAACAACTATGTACTTATTTTTTTATGTAAGTGTACAATGTACTTATTGTGTTTATGTTGTATTGCACAACATTTTGCTGCTACTGAGGTGGGATACGGGTAAGGTTAGGATAGGTTTAGTGGTATGGGTAGGTTTTAGGGTGGGTCAAAAGGGTAGGGAAAGCTCAACAGTGTAATTATAGCTGTAATTACAGAAATTAATGGCAGATGTAATTACATTCAGATAATTATAATAATATAAGTACAATATAAAAACATGTATGTACATAATGTCATGTTTCAATGTGTTTAAGTTCTGTTTTGTAATCTGATTTCCCCCTGTATTTGTGATTTTGGTTTAGTCCTGTTATTAGTTCAGTTTTGAGATCTTGCTTCTCCCGTCTTTTGTGATTTTGGTTCAGTCCTGTTAGTTTTCCCGCTCTGTCTAATTAGTAATTCCCTTCACCTGTGTTCTGTTAATTATCCCATTAGTCCCTGTTCATTTAAGCCCTGTGTTTTCCCTCAGTGTTTGTTGGTCGTCGTCAATCTATGGTTGTGTGTGTTTTGAAGTCCTGGAGAGTTTCCTTTGTTTCTGTCTGTTCCTGTAAGTTGACTTTGTAAATAAATCAACTATACTTCAGTTCCCGTGTCCTCGTCTTCGGCAACCTCTGCACTCAACCCTGACACATAATAAGTGCATTGTATCAAATGATTACTTTAAATGTTAGTACGTAGTAGTTAAAGACACCTAATCTAAAGTGGGACATTAAATATAATCAATTGTATATTAAATATAATATATTAATATAATCATTTTTAACAAAATGCTAAGATTTATGTTTAAAAAATTGTTTTTATATTATATGAAAGATTCATATTTTCAACCCATTCTTAATGATGCATCAAAGATTATCATAAATAATTTTTAACTTATCTTAGTGCAAAAGTTTAATTCGCAACAACAGTGTTCAGTATCACAGACAACCAAATGTTTAATTTTCCTAAGGCATAAAAACATGCACAAGATCAACAAATGTAAGACAAATGTAGTGAATGCAGCACAGTTAAAACATTCTTTCACATTGAGTAGTTGAACCCTAGTCAGTGATCACATAGTCATAGTGCATCCCCTTCCTCATCCAGCAGATTCACTGGCCACAAGAGTCTTACTGCATGTACAACTGGAGAAGACTGTCTGTGTTCACTTGAAGACATCAAAGCCAGCGGTTCATGGTGCATCGGCCTGGGATGTGAAATTTGAGGTGCCAGCCAGTGAGGTTCAGTTTGTGATGTGCTTTGAAGGGCTTGTTACATTTCACCCCCCACAGAGCCAAGGCTCAGAAAAAAACACGTCTATTCCAGACTCTAAACGCTCAGCAGAGTCAATAAAGTAGGATTTGCCCTCTTCTCAGAAACCTCCAAATGGTTCCTCTCATTCTCACTCTCTCCTGAAAACGTTGACTCTAATTTGTGAAAGTATTAAAACTAAACTGTGACGGTATCGTTGCAAAGTGGTGGATGGATTAATTGAGGGAAAACTGTAATAGCAATAAACAACTTGGGAAAGAGACTTGCATACCTCTACCAATGCCCATCCGTCACTTCATAACTGCATGACTGTAAATGAATGACTTTATGGCCCAAATAAAAGGTACTCCTGTGTTTTTGTGATCTAACATTATTGTGCAGATAGCAAATAGGTTGCACACAGCTATATATTTGCACAAGTCTTTGCGTGTGGTAGTACCAGGGGTTTTGAGTTATGGCTTTTTAGTTATCATGAAAATAACAGGTTACTCTTGATAGACCTGAACTGGTTTCAGAATGATTGCCCTAAAGGGTTTGTTCACCCCAAAATAAAAATTCTGTCATTAATTGCTTGCCCTCATGTCGTTCCAAACCCGTAAGACTTTGGTTCATCTTCGGAACTCAAAATTATGATCTTTTTGATGAAATCTGAATAGTTGGTTAATTGTTGGTACTTTTGGCTCCCCCTCCCTGTCAAACTGCATCACTGCAGTCAGCATGACCACGCCTCACTGCCAGCTCCTCTCTTTTCACTCTTTGGTCATAAAATGGTTTTCTGGAGTACAATATAAATCCAAACTTGTGAATGTGTAAATGTTGATATGACCTTTTTTAAAAACAAAAAATTATTAACTAACATCCATGGCCACATAAACACTGCAGATAAATAGAGTTTTCCTTTTCTCTACACAAATAATGTATTGTTTGTATGAGATGTCTATTTTCTCCTGGATCACAGCAATGAAAGTTTATGTCTTATATTATTTGTCAATTTCGACACCAGTCCCACATTTCAATGTGGTAGTCATCCTAAAACTTTGCAGTGTATACAGGCCTGTGTCCTAACAGATCAGAGATTATTTTGAATCCGAGAAGTGCAAATTTTGTTTGTTTTTCAACAGCTAATATTCCAGTCTGTAGTATCAAATGATCCTTTAGAAATCAATCTAATATACTGATTTGAATCCCGTCACTCACATGAGACCAGCAATAGCAAATCACAATGATCCAATCAATTCCTGATGGACAAAAATCAACCAAGTCCCACCCTACAATTTTTTTTCCTGTTCGAGAAGCCGTTTCACTTGGATATATTTATGACACAACAGGGAAGAAAAAGCAAATTGTGTTTTTATTCACATTCTCTCTTTCTCTCTTGCAGGATCTAATCAACACTGCCACCAGCACCTTGTTCTTCTTTCTGGCTTCAGTGGTTTTGGCAGCCCTCAACCATCAATCTGGAGCAGAGATTGCAGCTGTGGTACCTATCAAGCTTACTCAGCTCTTTATTTCATGAATCCTGTCCCTGTGGTTGTGGTTGGATTCTAATGTTTAGTCATTTCTCAAGTATTTTAAGTGGGTCCTAATCTGCCCGGGCTCTGCTGCCCTCATGTGGCTGAAATGGAGCACATAGTTGTTCCTGGAGAGAGTCCTGGACAGGCAGACAGCGGGAAGTTTTGAGAAGTCATAGTCACGATCCATCTGAATGATTCACATTGTTTGATTTTCTTCTTTGATTTTTAACACCGAAAACCTCTCTGCTTCCTCCTTTCCTGTTTCTCCATCCCAATTTTCTTTTCACTCACAGTTTTGTTCTTCTCACATGTTGTTTCTATCTCAGAATTTAGATTGTGTCAAGTTTTGACTGCATCACTCATTACTAGATCCACAGAAGCACAGTTTGGACACATCACTTTTGTTTATAAAATATTTGAGCTAATTTGATCATGTGTTTAGCTGTCAGTAAAAGTGAAGCACTCTCAGCTCTGTTTAAGTCAATTCCACAGAATTTATGGAAGCCTTTTTCCTGAGGTCAGAGAGAGGAAAAAAAAAAAGATAACTGTGAGATAAAGTTTAAAATAAGAAAAAAGAGTCACATTGTGAGATATAAAGTCACAGTTACTTTTTTCTTTTCTTTTGTACTTTGAGGCAGAAAAAGACTTCCATAAGAATTTCATTGATTTTCCTACAAAATCCCCAAAGAAAATGCTAAAAAAAAATCCATCAGGGTTTGCACGTTACATTATCTTAGAATTGAAGCTGACAAACTAACAAAAGTTAGTTTGTGTGTTTTGGTCGAGGCTGCTGACCTCTTGTGTCTGTGAAGAGGTTTGTAAAGATAAGTAGATGATTCCCAATATTGTAACAGGATCAGGTTCTTTTACTCAGATCCTGACCTTTATGATTGTAGACACTTCATGTATGACCTGAGCTCAGCACAATATCCACCAACACCCTAGAAGTCAAAGGCTGGGGATTTGTGCTGAGTGTTTTATGATAGAGATGTTCTCAGCGGGAAACCACTTTAACACCCAGGGATTTTGCTGAACTACAAGGCACGGCAAATTCCTTTGGCTCTCACAGCTTGAGAGAGAAAGAGAGAGAGAGAATTTAGTATATTTTGGTAGAAGTATAGATGTTATATTTACTGTGACTTTCCAAAAATGCTTATTCTGTAATCCTTTTCTCACCCTCATGTCGTTTCAAATCTATAAGACTTAATCTTTGAAACAACTTTTAACCGTTAAAAGTACAGGTAACCAAAATTTAAAAGATCCAAAATGTTCATAAATGCATTGTAAAAAGTGAATGTGAATCGTCTCGGTTACGGATGTAACCCTCGTTCCCTGAGTAGGGAACGGACACGTTTTGTTGTGACGACGAATGGGGTTTCGCTTAGAAAGCCTATCAACTTCGAGTATTACAAAACGAGCCAATGGCAAAGAAATGCCATGGGTCTGCGGATTTTGCATAGCGTGACTCCGCCCTACCTCATGGGTATATAAGGAAGTATGTTGGCAACATGTAGTTATGTTACTTGCTGAGGAGCCGAGACTGAACTCAGGCTGTTCCAGCGGTACAGCGAAAATGGCAGGGAGACGTAACGTCTCCGTTCCCTACTCAGGGAACGAGGGTTACATCCATAACCGAGACGTTCCCTTTCGTAGTCACTACGAGTTACGTCGTGACGATGAATGGGGTTCCCAGTCTAATCACGCCACTCGGCTGTCTTCCAGTGCCCTGCGTAAGTCTGAGCTCCATGTTGTGAGACTAGCACGGACGAAGGACTCCTACTTAAAGGGTTAGTTCACCCAAAAATGAAAATTATGTCATTAATGACTCACCCTCATGTCATCCCAAGCCCGTAAGACATCCGTTCATCTTCGGAACACAGTTTAAGATATTTTAGATTTAGTCCGAGAGCTTTCTGTCCCTCCATTGAAAATGTATGTACGATATACTGTCCTTGTCCAGAAAGGAAATAAAGACATCATCAAAGTAGTCCATGTGACACCAGTGGGTTAGTTAGAATGTTTTGAAGCATCGAAAATACATTTTGGTCCAAAAATAACAAAAACTATGACTTTATTCAACACAATAATTGTCTTCCGGTTCTGTTGTCAATACGCGTTCAGTGACGCTGATGACGTAAGAAGCTGCTGACTTGTATCTGGTGGGTCCCTGTATTCGGGTTCAAATAAATATGGCTGGACAAAAAATTGCAAGTCTTCCTCTGTGTCGAAATCCTTAGACATGTTTGCGAAGATTGTTTTGTTTACAGCGTGGTCTTACATCATCAGCATCACTGAATGCGGCTCGACAACAGAACCGGAAGAGAATACAATGCTGAATAAAGTCGTAGTTTTTGTTATTTTTGGACCAAAATGTATTTTCGATGCTTCAAAGCAGGGTGGAATGTTTCAACCCCAGGGGTGGCAAGGTGGCTTGCCAAGGGAAAGACACATGCTCAGAGAGGCTTACAGTGGAAATACACATGTGGGGGTCGCCCAGAGGGGGAACCATGCACATGGCGGCACCTGGCCAACGTGAAAGCTGCCGGTGGCATAACTCTGGCGTTTGACGTCAACAGTGCTGGAGGAACTCAGGGCTTGTCGGGGAAACTCGCCTAAGAAAATATTGCACGTGTCCAGTCCGTGGAGTGGAATGGCAAGCAAGCGAAGACACCTGAGCCGATCCTTGTACCGGCTGGTTGAAGCAAGTACATGAGAGGACACTGGCTCCACTCGGAGATAGTAGAATCTGGCGAATGTGTTGGGTGTCGCCCAGCCTGCAGCTCTAAAGATGTCTGTTAGCGAGGCGCCATGCGCTAGAGCCCAAGAGAAAGCCACACTCCGAGAAGAGTGGGCCTTCACACAAGGGGGCACAGTCGACCTTGCTGCTGGTATGCCAAGCAATGGTGTCTACTAACCAGTGAGACAACCTCTGCTTGGAGAGAGCCTTTCCCTTCAGCTTCCCACCATAACAGACAAAGAGCTGGTCAGAGGTCCTGAAACACTGCGTTCTGTCTACGTAAGCACGGAGGGTACTGGACAGAGCAGTGCCAAGGCTGGGTCTGCCTCCTCCAGGGGCAGCGCTTGCAGGTTCACCTGATCTCGAAGGGGAGTGGTGGGAACCTTGAGCACATATCCAGGCCGGGGTCTCAGGATCACGTGAGAATAGGCCGGCTCGAATTCCATTTCCATCAACGGAAAATGCGTGCAGGTCCCCTACCCTCTTAATGGAGGCCAATGCAACCAGGAGCACTGTCTTAACTGACAGGAACTTAAGCTCCACTGATTGCAGAGGCTTCAAGGGGAGCACTCTGCAGGGCAGTTAAAACCACTGAGAGGTCCCAAGAGGGACGAGAGGAGGGCGAGGAGGATTCAGTTTCCTGGCTCCTCTCAGGAACCTGATGATCAGGTCGTGCTTTCCCACGGACTTACCCTCGATTACGTCGTGATGGGCGGCGATAGCGGCAACATAGACTTTCAGGGTAAAGGGAGACAGCCTTCGCTCCAACCCATCTTGCAGGAAGGAAAGCACGACACTGATCGGGCATTTTCTGGGGTCTTCTTGGTGAGAAGAGCACCAGTTGACGAAGAGGTTCCACTCCAACGCGTAGGCATGTCTCGTGGACGATGCTCTAGCGGAAGTGGTGGTAGCCACAGGGAGTAAAACAGGTCGCAATGGGACGAGTCGTGGGAGGCAAACAGGTCTACCTGGGCGTCTCCGAACTGATCCCAAATCAGCTGAACCGACTGGGGATGGAGTCACCATTCTCCAGGAAGAGGCTGAAACCGTGAAGCTCGTCGGCTGCCCAATTCAGGGTTCCCGGAATATAATGGCTTGAAGCGACCTCAGATGCTTCTGACTCCATAAGAGGAGGTGGCGGGCGAGTTGAGACATACGGCGGGAGCGTAGACCACTTTGTCGGTTGGTGTACGCTACTGTCGTGGTATTGTCTGATTGGACTAGTACGTGCTGGTTCTTGAGCAACGCATGGAAGCGGTGCAGAGCGAGACGTACTGCCTGCAACTTGAGGCAATCGACATGCCAAAGGCGCTGGGGCCCTGTCCCTGCTCCTTCTCCAGGAGCCCACGGCAGCATGTCCATTGCACATGGCACCCCAGCCCGTGGTGGAGGCATCTGTTGAGACAACAACATGCCTGGAAACTTGTTCTAAGGGCACTCCGGTCAGTAGAAAGCTGAGGTTCGTCCACGGGGTGAAGGTCTGACGGCAGGTCAGAGTAACTGGTACTCGGAGCGTGCCTTGTTGCCATGCCCACCTCGGGACTCGATCGTGAAGCCAGAGTTGAAGCGGTCTCATATGAAGCAATCTGAGCGGCGTTGCTGCGGCTGCGGATGCCATATGCCCCAGGCGCCTCTGAAATAACTTCAGTGGAACCGCACTCTTGCCCTCGAACTGTCTAAGGCAGGGGTATCAAACTCAACTTAACTGGTAGAGTCTGGGTCAGGCTGGGCCGCATCAAGTATTCCACAAAAAAAAATGTATTCAAGTATTCCAAAAAAGGAGCACAACTGATCCAATCTTCTCAATCTTTATTATTAACGTTTCTTCTGAACTGTTCCTCTGAATTTGAACATTCCTTTCTGTACATGATTGGTTCTTCATGAGCTGTCCTTCTGACAGTTGAAGTTCATTTTACAAACTTTCTTTGTCTTTTCCTTATACACAACATCTTTGTGATACTTCATTTTACAAACATTTTTTTTCTTTTTCTTATAACACATCTTTGTGATTCTTTTATTTGCTCATGTCCTTTTTATTTTCAATATGATATTGAATGTTTTTTTGGAAGGCACATTTCCTTTTATTATACTTAGAAAAACAATTATTGCTTTTGAAATACAAATATTTGCAGTCATGTCTGCCCGTCTTGTTGAATTCTTTCTACACATGTATAGTGTCTCAGGCAAATTACTGACTTTGCACAAATCAAAGCAAACCTTCTTATCAACCTGTTGGACACATATTACAAGCTCAAAATGATTATTCTCACATTGTTTTAGAGCAGGGGTCTCCAACACATCGCTCGCGAGCTACCAGTAGCTCGTGGCCTGATTGGTGGTAGCTCGCCAAGGGGCCTGTTCACATATCGCGCTCACATATTTTGCGCGCTCAAGTTTGTTATTTCAAATGCAAGCGCGCTCATAATTGAAGCGACGGACTCATTTTTTCCAGGCGCAGTATGTTTGTACTTCGCGGTTGTCTATGACAACTACTGACAACAAACCCACCGTTAGCTGTCACGATATGGTAGGTGCCGGAGCACTAGGTCCCTGTGTTCGCAAACCTGGTCTCGAGAGTGAGTTAGGATCAGCCAGTCGTCGAGATAGTTCAGGATGTGAACCCCGTGTTGCCGTAGCGGCACAAGGGCTGCCTCGACGACTTTCGTGCTAGCCCAAATGGGAGAACCGCGTACTTGTATGTCCGCCTCTCGAAAACAAACTGAGGGAACAGTCTGTGTCGAGGAAGAAAGGAGACATGGAAGTAGGCGACCTTCAGGTCGATCGCTGCAAACCAATCCTGTGGCCGCACACATTCGAAAATGCGTTTGGCCGTGAGCATCTTGAACGGAAGCCTTTTTAGAAGGGAACGGTTCAAGACGCGCAGGTCCAGGATTGGTCGAACCCACCGGTTTCTTGGGTACAATGAAGTCGGGGCTGAAGAAGCCAGACTTCATTTCAGCTGGAGGGGTGGTCTCGATCGTACCCTTCGCCAGTAGGGTGACGACCTCCATACGCATGACGGGCATTGCCACCCACCACGGTATAGCGGATTCCCCGGAGCGGGGAGGAGACCGTGCGAACTGAATCGCATAGCCGAGCCTGATGATTCTCGTGAGCCAGCGGGACAGATAGGAAGCTCCAACTGAACCAGCGGGGTCATGTGAACCACAGACATACCCACGATGGGGCAGCGAGGCGGAATGACCGGCCCAGGCGTTGGTGGCGGAGCGTCCCGATGTGGGGGCACGGTCATATGCCGCATCCTGACAGAGGAAGGTCAGGGAAGGACCAGCGTTCCACGGGGGCCTGCTCTGTCATGGGTCTGGCGACAGAGGGGGACGAGAGTGGCGAGGCTCGTAAGCGGCGCGCACTGCCATCCGCGCCCTCTGGGGGCTCAAAGATGGGATGTCAGTTCTTTGGAGAAGAGGTTCTCCCCCGGCCCTCCACCGGGGGTAGGAGTGGCCCTGCAACCACTTCCTGAAAGAACTGCAACCCATCTCTGAGCTGCCCGTAACGGGAGCGCCGCATCGCCTGGCGTTCGGCAGGCTGCGGTACTGGTACAGGCTGGGGCGCCTTCCTGCAAACACCTCAATGGCGCGGCCCGGTGCTGCTGGGGCCGAGCGGAAGGGGGCGGAAGTCGCAAGTGGGCGCGTTCGGCGGCAAGCGGACTGAGGCATCTGAGCCGGCGGCTGGGTGGCAGTAGCTGGCCGCGGGGTCATAACATGTTTGGTAGCCTCAGTCTGCTTCTGGGCGGCCGAGAACTGTTGGGCAGAGTCCTCGACCGCGCCGCTGAAGAGGCCAGCCTGGGAAATGGGGGAGTTGAGGAAGCGGGTTCGCTCAGCCTCACGCATATCAACCAGGTTAAGCCAGAGATGTCTGACCACGCATGTGGACATCACCTGACCCAGGGAGCGTGCGGTCACCTTCGTCACTCGTAGAGCGAGGTCGGTGGCGGCAGGCAGCTTTTGGATGAGCCCTGAATCAGCCCTACCCTTGTGCATGTCATTGAGCACCCTGAAGGATGGCAATAACATTTAGTGAGGCGGCAGCCTGCTCCGCAGCTCTCTAGGTCTTTGCCACCGGAGTAGACAAACACCTACAGGCATTGTAGGGGTGCTTAGGGTCGCCACGCCAGGTGGAGGCGCTGTGGGGACACAGATGTGTTGCCACAGAACACTCCACAGGGGGAACCCCAGTGTACCCTTGGCCACGGCCTCTGCGAGGGCAGAGAAGGTGGAAGAGGCCGCTGAGCAGTCGCGAAAAGTCAAAGGAGACTCCCACGATCTCATGACCTCTTCATGCACGTCCGGGTAGAAAGGATTTGGGTTCGCCTCCCCCAAAAACCAATCATCAGCCTTGAGTGCTCGGGACATGGCGGATGGTCCCACACAAGCCCGATACTCGCAGCGGCCCGGGAAAGCATAGCTGTCCACTCTGGATCAGACTCTTTATGCTAGCACACCCGAAAGTGGCAGCACAAACGAGCCCTCATCTCCAGAGGACTCCAGCTCACCTTGTGATGCGGCGATAGACATGATTTCATCAGCTGGGGAACCGAATGAGATCCTGGGCCCGTCGGCGTCCTCGAACGCGGCTCTGGTCAGCGAACTCATCCAGAACCACACGGGTTGCAATGTGACAGAGGGGGGTGTGGACCGAGGATATTTCATCGGTTTAGTTCCACAACAGCCGCCTTAGGACACCCTGGCCACCAGCCAAAGTATTCTCTCGCGTGGAGAAAATAGATCGGTGTGTGGATGAGGGGACTCTCGCTCTATTGAGCTCATCGAGTCTTGACCGTTACATTGCGATAGTCATGTTCCCGCGGGGAGAACATGACGCATCCACGAGCGTGACGCTGTCTGAGCGTGATCGAAGCCCAAACACGTCAAAACAGCGTTTGTGCCCATCAGCTGAATCTATCAAACTACCGCACTCAGAAATACACAGGTAGATCGTATTTAAAAAGACGTGCCACGTGCACGATCTTTTTGTGAGATAAAAGCTCGCAGCAGTGCTGAAGCGCCCAGGGAGAAACACACAGGCTGTTCAGTTCAGCAGGCAGAAATGTGAAACTTGCTAGAACACCGCATCACACCAACACTGACTGGAAGTTGCTCGTCTAGAAGATTCTCGAAGAATATGCTGCAGGAGTGAAGAGGACTTCTTGGCTCCAAAGCAAAAACATAACTGCATGTTGCCAGCGTACTAGATGGTCCTCACTGCAGAACACGAAATCCAGGGGGAGGAGTTGGATCCAGATCCAACTCCTCCCACCTTACATATACCTAAACCTACCCATCTCCGCCCCCTGATCCCTAACCCCACCCCTAATCCTACCCATCTCCACCCCTTAGATCTGGATCCAAGTCCGCCCCCTGGATCTCGTGTACTGCAATGACGGCGGAGTCACGCTATGCAAACTCCACAGACCCATGGCATTTCTTTGCCATTGGCTCGTTTTGTAATACTCAAAGTTGATAGGCTTTTTAAGCGAAACCCCATTCGTCGTCACAACGTAACTCGTAGTGACTACGAAAGGGAACTAGGGGTTTAATACAAGTCTTGAGAAGAGATGCGATTGCTTTATATAATGATCAGATTTAATGTAGGCTTTCATTTACATCTAAACATCAATCGACACACATACATAGGACACAACACATATGGTAAACACGGAAGATCATGCACTGTAAAAAATTATATGATCAATAAGTAATGACAACATATATTTTTACATTGCTTTAACATCAAAATAAGTTAAGCAATTTTGAACTTTTTTTATGTTAATACAAGATTCAACTAATTTTTTTAAGTCAGTTTAATGTAATTTAAGTTTAAATGACAAACATCCAAGTTGATTGTACTTAATTTGAGTCAGCAACATTTTTTACAGTGTGTGTGCATCACATGCATGTCATACGCTTGAACAAACATCACTGGTCCTCATGCATCAAGCACACTCGTTTGAGCTTCCGTTTATCAAATGTGATGTGCCCTATGTAGTATGTTTCGTTTTATAACATTTTTGGATCTTTTCAAAGTCTTAAGAGCTTTGATCGACATGAGGGTCAGTAAAGGATGACAGAATTTTTATTTTTGGGTGAACTATCCCTTTAAAGCTCATAGTTTAAAGCTGAAACCATCCACCTCCAGCCCTCTTACAGTCATATGTGTTTGTTTTCTCCAGGTTTTTGGGTTTCTGGTGATGGGAGTATATGGCGTGAACACGTATCTGGCAGTACGGAGATGGCGTCTCGGGGACTCACGAGACGGACCCCTGCAGACCAGCGAGTACATCCGTGCGCGCACAGCCTCGCGGGGAGAGGTGGAGTCACGGCCTGAACTACAGTAAACCACACAGACGGACCAATAGAGACTGAGACAAGCAAAGCCCCGTCTGCATTCCTGTCACAGTGTGTTCTTCTGTGTATCCTCGTGACGGTGGGCAGTTAAGATGAGCGCTTACAAACAAACAGTTGTGTGAACAGTCTGTCTGAAGTGGAACAAACTTCTGGCATCTTCATTATCATCAAGCCTCAGGCCATCGTCATTTGACTGTATACTTCAATCTTTCCACTAATTAAGGGCTTTACCTTACCATGATCTGGATGAATATTGACAGAAACTCACTTCACTGTGCTCCTAAACTTCTCCCAGCAGATAACCTGAAAGATTTTAATAATGCCTGCAATAAACCACTTGAACCCCCTTCAATTTAGCTCCATTCCCAGTCGGCTAATATGAAAGGATTGCAACTGTTTCTAAAATGTGTCTTATCAAAGATCAACTGATTTAAGTGATCTGAAGTGGAATGGGAATATGTGAGAGGGTTTATGAACAAAAAAAGATGGCTTTTTCTCTCTGCTATTGTGATCCTGTATCCAAACACATCTGAGAAAACTGCAGTTGGATTGGGCCGTTTTTCTGTAGAGACGAGGTTAGATGTTAGGAGCACCAGTATTTATTTTAATGTTAAATATTTTTTATAATACCACAGCTTTGGTAGCCACATTGTACCAAATGTAGTATTTCACCTCGTGAATGTGACCCTGCGTTAAAACAGACAACAACAGCTTTCAAATTGTGTGTGTGGGTGAAGGGGGGTGTGAGTTTAATGTAACTTTTTAGATACTTCCGATTTTTAGATACTAAATCTTGTGTGCATAATCTATTGTTTTTGTTCTTTGTGGTTGTTTCTGTACTCCACTGTGCACTCAACCCTGTCCAGTTATCTGTATATATCGATTTAAGCAAGGGTAGAGTTTTTGAAGAAGGTGTATATATTATGTATCTGTGTGTATATGACATGACATACATGAAGGGTTCCTGTTTGTATGAATTCTTATGACTGATACTAACAGACTGTATTTGAAGGAACAAGTGTACTGCAGTACATATGAATGCACTTGCTAAACTGTGTATCTTTTTTCTGTGTGCCTTAATCGTAGAGGCTTGACTAGTCAAAACACTCAAACTCCTGGACACTAATGTCATGACAACATTAGCAGAATAACAGCTTAAGTGGATGTGAAATTTGATGAACTGATCATTGGTATGAAGATGTTTTTCTAAAGTGCTTTATTGATCCTCTAATGGGTCTTTTTATAAGGAGTGTCATGGAACGACATTGTGGGGGGAATGAAATGTATGTTTTACCACAGATTTTAAGATGTAGTGCAATTGTATGATTTTTTTGCCCCTAGAAAACGATCGTTCGTAGTATTCATTTATTGTCATACTTAAGTCTTACTATCTGAAGTTCTTCAGTGAAGTCACATATGTTGTGGAATAAGACAATGTTGAAATGAAGTAATTTCGAGGTGTAGGCTCACATTATAGAGATATAACAACACTGTGGACTTGAAAATGTTGAAAGACAATCACAAGAACGATTTACGTCTTGGTGGACTCTGCATTAAAGTGCTAAAGTAAATTTTTTCCTATTTTGAAAGCAATACTGTCTGTGTGCTTATGCTTTAATAATGTGTAAAAGCTTTCACTGTGCTTTGACTATGCTAAACTTCTTATTGGAAGATTTTAGCATCTAAATAACTCCTGATTTTGACCATATGGTTTGGACTGTATTTTCAACTCATAAATCATTGAAGTATTCCAAAAGGAACTATGTTGACATTTTGAGGGACTCAAATTTTGATAATGATTGTACTGTTTCTTGTTGACATTTCCTGTATTCAAGAAAGCAATGTTTTAATCATGTAACAGTGCTATAAATTTGTATTTTTGTATTTATAGAGTTGTGCATAGACTTACAAAATGCTAATTGTTTGAAAATATTTGTGATGGCAATCTTTTCCTCAAATAAATGGATTTGGATGGACTGTTGATCTATAAATGGAAAAAAGCCTTACTATGGTACACTGCATTTATATGGAATCCACTGCATTTAAAGACCCCCCTGTGGTGAAAATCAAGTTTTAATGTTGTTTAAATGTCTATGTGGTGTTTTTAACATGCTTTAAGACAAACCATGTGCAAATTCATGTCAACAGCATTGCTGAGTATTTGTCTCCTTAAAACTGCAGTGAACCAAAGATAGTCTTAAAAAACTCGGTTTGAAATCGCTGGTGTTTCTTACATCACAAACTACATCACAGATACCTTGTAACCAATCAGGTCAACGTGCGGGTGGGCTTTAGCATATCATTAACTGGTGCAAAGCAAGAGTCTCAAGAGATCCCGGTATATGTTTCTGTTGATAGGAAAAATCGGGTACATTTAGCAATATAGCGGGTGAATTATGTATATGTTTATGTTATGATGAACTATATGCCTTTCTCCACTGACGTTCTATGATGTTCGAAGCGTTTCTAAGGATGTTGATTTTAAGAAGGCAGACTGAGATGGCGAACGGGAACATGATTTATGTAACATTAGCAACACATTATTAGCTGTTTGATAATGTAGTCAAGCAAAAGGCTAATCATATTAATAACAGTTATGAGTCTGACGTTGTAAAGAGTGATACAATTGTGCAGCATTTACTACAGTAACTTGAGTAAAAGCTGACCGAGTGAATCTCTTGAGCTGGTGCGAGTGAGTGGAGACGGGGCTACTTTGCATATTCATAGATCCGCGTATACTAAATGAAGCAAGGGTGTAAAGTTATGGCATGAAGAAAAACATTTCACAGGAAAAAAACTTTTAAATATGTCATTTTGGTGATCAAAATGAGTTTTAAGGGATACAATTATTGACTACAGGGAGACTTTAAATCAGATCTACTGAAATACACCACATTTTACCACTAACAAACTCTAGATCACATTTTGCTTCTAACATTCAAACTGATTGAGCAAAATTATTTGCTCAAAAAACAAACAATATTACAAAAATTCCACAAAAAATATGTATTGATTTGGTAATCTGACAGTGCATGTTATTAAAGCATATCCACTCTTCACAGAAACACTAGAAGGTGGAATGTGGATGAATGCAACATGCCTTAAAATACAATAGTAAACCAGGAGACACTCACATACACTGCTGAAGCTCACGTTTATAATACAGTTTCAATAGCTGAGCAGTGCCACTGTAAGAAAAGTACATTGCTAAGTGAGCACGATGAGACAAATCTTGCCTTTTTTGCAGTGCTTTGGCAAGACATTGGAATTATATCGATATTACAAGACTAATACCAATGTGTAGACGTGTGGAAATGAGACAGGTGACTGTGGCCAGCCAACCACCTGCCAATTTCATGTATGATGTAAACTTATTTTATTGCTACAAAACATTATTATTCCAAATCCAGGGCTTCATCACCACGTCACGGATAATTGTTTTAAAATACAATTTAAGAGAACATATTTTGAGAAAATATTCTCCCAAAATAGTTATAATTAGTAAACACACACAGCTCCCAAATAAAGAAATAAAAAAAGGCTCGTACATACTGTAAAAACTGAAAGCGAACTGAAGCTGTTGGAGGCAGTATAAACATGATAAATGGTACAATACAGCCCTTTCTTCCAAAAAAAAAAACAGTCAATAAGCTTGATTGATGTGAAACTATTTCACTGGAATAATTCACAGTTTTGGGAAAATAAAATGAGAGGGACTTCGATTGTATGGATGTATACAGTACTGTACAAAGACTATACAAAACTCTAAAGCCCCGGTTTCACATACAGGGCTTAGATTAAGCCAAAATCAGGCCTTAGTCCAATTAGAATATTTAAATAGCTTTTATAAACGTGCCTTAGAAAAAAAAACATTACTGGTGTGCATATTAAGACAAACAAATGGCACAGACATATTTTAATATACACTCACCTAAAGAATTATTAGGAACACCTGTTCAATTTCTCATTAATGCAATTATCTAATCAACCAATCACATGGCAGTTGCTTCAATGCATTTAGGGGTGCGGTCCTGGTCAAGACAATCTCCTGAACTCCAAACTGAATGTCAGAATGGGAAAGAAAGGTGATTTAAGCAATTTTGAGCGTGGCATGGTTGTTGGTGCCAGACGGGCCGGTCTGAGTATTTCACAATCTGCTCAGTTACTGGGATTTTCACGCACATCCATTTCTAGGGTTTACAAAGGATGGTGTGAAAAGGGAAAAACATCCAGTATGCGGCAGTCCTGTGGGCGAAAATGCCTTGTTGATGCTAGAGGTCAGAGGAGAATGGGCCGACTGATTCAAGCTGATAGAAGAGCAACTTTGACTGAAATAACCACTCGTTACAATCGAGGTATGAGGCAAAGCATTTGTGAAGCCACAACACGCACAACCTTGAGGCGGATGGGCTACAACAGCAGAAGACCCCACCGGGTACCACTCATCTCCACTACAAATAGGAAAAAGAGGCTACAATTTGCAAGAGCTTACCAAAATTGGACAGTTGAAGACTGGAAAAATGTTGCCTGGTCTGATGAGTCTCGATTTCTGTTGAGACATTCAGATGGTAGAGTCAGAATTTGGCGTAAACAGAATGAGAACATGGATCCATCATGCCTTGTTACCACTGTGCAGGCTGGTGGTGGTGGTGTAATGGTGTGGGGGATGTTTTCTTGGCACACTTTAGGCCCCTTAGTGCCAATTGGGCATCGTTTAAATGCCACGGCCTACCTGAGCATTGTTTCTGACCATGTCCATGCCTTTATGGCCACCATGTACCCATCCTCTGATGGCTACTTCCAGCAGGATAATGCACCATGTCACAAAGCTCGAATCATTTCAAATTGGTTTCTTAAACATCACAATGAGTTCACTGTACTAAAATGGCCCCCACAGTCACCAGATCTCAACCCAATAGAGCATCTTTGGGATGTGGGGGAACGGGAGCTTCGTGCCCTGGATGTGCATCCCACAAATCTCTAGGGCTGTAGTCAACCAAAGAAATCCTTAGTCGACCAAAGTCCTGTCCTGCAGTCAGGACTAAAATCCTGGACTAGGACTAGATCAGTCGACTAAAAAAAAAAAAAAAAAAAAAAAAGAAAGGCGCGATGTTTTGCATTTTGATTGAACATTTATTAAACAATTGTCATAGAGCATTTATAAAACAACGACGAAAAAACATAAATAATACATAAAACTATAATAATAATACAATTCTTTGAAAATTAAGTGATCTTTTTAACTGCAAAGTGAGGAGCTCTGTCCTAGGTCTATAGTGACAGTCACAATCGCGCACCTGACCACACCACACGCTACAAAAAATATAACTGCTAAAACTGCCAAATAATGCAAAATCCTAATAAAAGCTCTCGTTTATACAGGCTGTATATTCTTCTTTACTTTCAAAGCTATGGGTTAACTTTTGTCCAGTCGATCTAGGCGTTTTAAAACAAACACACAAAAACCCCAAATAGCCTAAAAAACAATCCTAATAATAATAGGCTGTAGGCCTATAGTAGGAAGGCATATAGGTTTTGTTACATTATTTAGGCTATTTTCAAATGTGTCAAGTGTACAAATAAAAACAAAAACATAAGAAAACACAATCTATTGAGTCAGCATAATAAAGCCGTTAAAGGGCCTGCTCACATATGGCGTCTTTTGCGCGCTCAAGTTCGTTATTTCAAATGTAGGCGCGCGTTAAGGTTGATTTATACTTCTGCGTCGGACCTACGCCGGTGCCTCTACGCTATAGACTACGCGTTGGTTTTAATTTATACTTCTGCGTCGTTTTCCGCGTTGACGCGCAATTACACATGCAGAGGGAGCATGTGAAACCCGGGGAGCGGTTCTAGCAGGCCAATCACAGCGCTTGCGGTACGTGTAGAATTGACGCGTTGTTACATTTTTGGAGAGGTGCACGTCAGGTACGCACGCTACACACAGCCTACGACGTAGCTACGGCGTGAGTTTGACGCAGAAGTATAAATTGAGCTTAAACGTACCCTTCGGCGTACCCTGACGTGCACCTCTCCAAAAATGTAACAACACGTCAATTCTACGCGTACCGCAAGCGCTGTGATTGGCCTGCTAGAACCGTTCAATGAAAATTTCTTTATATTGGTAAAAAAAAAAATGCAACTGGTCGACCAATGAGAATGTCAGTCGACCAAGACGGCATCGACCGATTAGTCGACCAAACGACTAAAGTTGACAGCCCTACAAATCTCCATCAACTGCAAGATGCTATCCTTTCAATATGGGCCAACATTTCTAAAGAATGCTTTCAGCACCTTGTTGAATCAATGCCACGTGGAATTAAGGCAGTTCTGAAGGCGAAAGGGGGTCAAACACAGTATTAGTATGGTGTTCCTAATAATCCTTTAGGTGAGTGTATGTCAGTGCAAGTTGCTTTCAGTTAAAACAGCTCAAACATGCTTTTTAGTCTGGGACTAGGCTTAAGCCTTGTCTGTGAAACCGGAGATAAAGCTTCTATTCTGTGATGTAACATTTGAAATACATTGTTTCAATCTAGTCACAAAAAGTTCAACATTTTGTAATGAATTTCAGAACAAACAATAAAAAAGTTATATCAAAGAGTCTGTTTTGGTTATTGTCAGGCACTGTAGTGGTCACACACGCCAGGATTTTGGACACAAACACAGCTTTAGTCAGAGTCAGAGTCTGAGTCATCATCTGTGAGGAAGAAGAATATGTTATTCTGGAAGAGAAATGAAGGAGGACAACCTCTGAATAACAACAGGAAAAAGAAAAAAATAGATGGGGAATTCCCAGTGAAAAAAAAAACTGCACTGTAAGTTCAATGCATGAGGATTACTACTAGAGATTGCTTGTAGCAAGGGATAATTCATATATGATACTGAATGAGTTCAGCCTGCCTAGTCACATAACTAGAGTAAAGGCTACACTGTGGATGATTATTTATAAAGTTATGAAACCACGTTTGATAAGAAACCCTTCACCCTTCCACTTCCATGACTGGTCTCACTAATTGTCTTGCTGCTTTAGTATGATGTGGAAAGTTTTGTGCAAGCAATCATTCCTGTGAATGAGACTTCAGCAGAGAAAAGAGAACTTTAGGTAATAATTTTTTTTACTGCTTTTTAAAAAAAGCTGTCTCTTACGCTCACCAAAGCTCAATTTATGTCATCATCATCATCATCAAAAAATTCAAAAGAAAAATTCAAATAATAATAAAACAGTAATAATTGTGAATTTCATTTTCATTTTAAAATAACTATTCATATTTTGTAACAATATAAATATTTACTGTCACATCGGATCAATTTAATGTATCCCTGCTGAATAAAGTATACATTTCTAAAAGCATTAAAAAGAACTAACCCCAAATGTTTGAAAGGTAGTATAAATAAGAGCTCTATATAAATACCTCGTGTGTTTGGTGGTTCCTCACTGGAGTCACCTCCCTTGAGGAAATTGGCCAGTTCATTAAAGATGAAATAAAAGTCCAGGGCGAAGATTATTGTGGCAACAAAGCCAAAGACCTAAGAAGTGAAAGAGAAAGACACATGAGACCAGTCTAAACATCACACAACTGAGTCACATGTAGCAACTATAAATCATAGATAAACAGTGTTGTCACTGATGGTGCCGATAAAGAGAATTTGACTGAACTGATGTGAGCCTACCCCAGCAGCCTTTGAGGCTCCATCCGGATATTTGGACACAGATATTATAGAGATGATGAAAAAGATGATGGAGGCGCTGACACAGCGCAGGAAGTCCTTGATGAAACAACAGACATGGAGATTTGGAAAGGAGGACGGAATTTTGGTTGTATAGTTTGATCCAGCACAGTCATTTTGTAGGTCAGTAAACTTACCACGAGGGGCCAGTGAAAGCCCTTAAATCTCTCATTGAACTTTGTAGAATAAGCAAACAGCAGGAAGAGGGCCGCCAAGAACTCAATGAAGGGAGCGGTGACGAAGGCAGCTGCTGTTGAAGCAGCAAAGCACACAAAGCTGATGAACGACAGCACCTGAGGAGACAGGAAACATGAGGATGCATTTTTATTTAAATATTGTTCCTAATCCTTATTATTTTGTTTATTTGTGACAGGGTGAGAGCACTACTTGACCTATAAGACCAAAACATCAGTTTGATCAATATCTGCCTTAACAGGAAACTGCTTCTGCCAATTTAAATACTGCCTGATTGGCTGTCAATGTTTTTTTTTATTTAGTTTTTTTATCATTCATTAGCTGGAAAAAATCAATCTGAAAGTGATTCCAATTATATTGTTTCTCTGTGTCATTATCATCATAGTTGTGGTGTGGACTTTCCTATTCTCAAAGAATTAAAAAAAATATATAGTTATTGTCCTTAGTGTAGACGGGCATTTATTGTACAGCCCAGTGGTTCTCAAACCTGTCCTGGAGGACCACCAACACTGCACGTTTTCTTTGTCTCCCTAATCAAACACACCTGATTCAACTCATCAGCTCATTAACCAATGTGTGTGATGCGTGTGACGTACAACCTAGAAGTGCTGCGCAGTTTCACTACGTGAACTATCTCGAGGCCAACAGAGAAGGAAATGAATAGCTGCGAATAAAGTCGTTATTTTTGTTTGTTTTTTGCGCACAAAAAGCATTCTCGTCGCTTGATAAACTTAAGATTGAGCCAATGTAGTCACTTGGACTATTTTAACGATGTCTTTAATAACTTTTGGGCCGGCCAGTTTCGATCCCTTAAGAAGCCTATGGAGGAGTGGTCCAGCTGTCACGATTTGGTCTTTCCTCTGTCACGTTTTGGTTTTGTTCATGTCATGTTCCATGTCTGTCATGGGATTCCCTGTTTGTCATGTGATCCTGCCATGTGTCTTGTCATTGGTTAACCGTCTGTTCATTGTTCACAGGTGTCCCTTGTCTTGTCATTGGTCTTGTGTATTTAAGCCCTCATGTTTGCCATGTGTCTTTTTCAAGAATTGTTTCCTGTGACCACTGTTGAGTAAGTCTTTGTCCACGGTTTTTGTTTCATGCCACGTCATGCTTTGTTTTATGTTTTGATCTTGTTATGTGTTATTCTGAATAAACTGCACTTGGGTTCTCTCGCTACAACTAGTGATGGGCAGATCGAGGCTTCGGGAAGCAATGAAACAGTTGAACCAAATGGTCCATATTGTTTAGAGGCTTCGAATCAATCCGACACCCGTCTCCACTGTGACACCTAGTGGTCACTTGCAGGTGTTGATCTGAAACAACCTTGACGAGCCATTAAAAAATGTTTTTTTTATTTATTATTGTACTTTTCTAATATGTGAATCTTGCAACCTATAGCCTCCTCACTGTGCATAATGTTATTTTGGTACTGCAAAATTAATATTAATAAAATAAATCAAGCCACAATGTCTCACTTTTTTACATATTTGTATTCAAAAATATTAATTTCTCTGCTGTGGAAGGACTTAGCCTACTTCTTTTTTTTACAGATAATTTCTCCAGCCTTTGAAAAAATCCTCTCACAAGGGACACTTGTTGCTGGCATGCAAATATATATTTTTAGCTAATACATACAAATGAGGAAAGATTACTGCTCTCTCTTTCCAGTAAGTTAGTGGATCATGAGTTCTGGGCAAATACGCATCGTTGATGTATTTTTTCACTTCCACTGTGGCATCAGCTGTAGCATTGTGTATCATCTGGGTTTGATGGATACGAGTATCAAAAAGTTCCCATAAACTGTCCTGTGTTTCAACTGGATGATGTATTGTTGCAGTAGGCGAGCTGCCGATCACAATACACACACATCTCACTTTATTTGGGGTTTCTAAATGGAAATGCTCCCACACCACAGATGTACGGCATCTCTTCTGGGGAGCCTCCATTTTATCTATCTATCCAAATCTATCTAGATATGTATCTCTAATCTATCTATGTAATTAGATATATGTATCTACAATCTATCTATGTATTTAGATATGTATATAATATGTATCTATAATCTATGTATTTAGATATGTATCTATAATCTATGTATCTATAATCTATGTATTTAGATATGTATCTATAACTGTATCTATAATCTATCTATGTATTTATATTATGTAGCCAATCTTTAATCTATCTGTATCTATCTATCTATTAATCTAGCTGTCTATATATATTTATATCTATGTATCTATTAATGTGTCACTATACTCTGTGTCTCTAGCCTATCAGTCAATGTGTTGTGTACATTTAAGACTAAATATAACTAAACAAATCGCACTATAAATGTCACTATATCACCAAAAATCCGCTATCTCAAAATCAAACTCCTCTCACAAAAACCCACGAGGTCAATATGCGTTGATTTCACTTTTATACAGATGTGCGATTGTGTGGTCTGTTGTTCCCGACCGTGTCAATCAAACGCTGATTCGGCGGATCACACCTGATGAAACACTTAGTAGTGAAACACTTCGAGGCTTCGTTTGGCCATAGTCACGTGACATGGGTGTTTTGAATCACGCTTCGAATCAGTGTTTCGAAACATCTGCGCTTTGGGATCTCGCAAAGCTTCGGAACGACTGTTTCGCGGCAGCCATCCCTAGCCAGGGGTGCGGCCAGGGATTTTGGGCCCCATGAAAAAATATGAGGTAAGGCCCCTACAACTGCACCCGTTCAATTAATAAAATCGATCTCTGGGGCCCCTAAAAGTGTGTGGGCCCTTAGAATTCTCCTAACTTTTCCCCCCTTAGCGGCGCCCCTGTCCCTAGCTACAACTTGCCTCCAGTGGATCCCTTACACCAGCTTTCAGATTTAATCAAAAATATCTTAATTTGTGTTCCGAAGATGAACGAAAGTCTAACGGAGTTGGAACAACATGAGGGTGATTACTGACAGAATTTTCATTTTGGAGTGAACTAACGCTTTAAAAAAAACAAGGCCAAAACAAGCCCTATATTATATTATGTATTATCAATAAATGAGCCTGCTACATATTAAACTGAAACCACTCAGATTTGGAAAAGCAAAAACAGAAGTTATTTTACAAAAATCATCACATTGCAACAAAGCGGGAGAGCATGCACCATCCTCCGATCACCTGTGAGGAGAATAGGTTTGGAGATGAAAAAGACAAGCACTAAGGAGGAGCTGTGATATAGCCAAATTCGAACCATATCTACTGTTAGTATTAGTATACTTTTTTATTATAGCCTGTAATGATTAATACATAATAAAAATATTAAAAAATAATAAATTAGGTCCATCTCCTCCCCTGCACCGTCCATTATCTCCCAGGTTTCCTCTCCATCTCTGTACATCTCTTTTGGTGGCATTGTTTGTGAAAATGTACATTTGTCTATTTACTATCATCGCTTCGATTACGACATCACATGCCTGCATGCCATGCTGAACGTGATTTTTATCCAATGAGGGTGAGGAGGGGACAGGATGTGGGAGGATGAATTACGCTACAGCACTGATGAGCAGACCGTGTCAATCAATGTATCAAAGAAAACAGTAAATATAAATTTAAAGAAATTAAGTTACTTGTCAGATTTTCCTGAACCATATTTTTTTTAAATAAGCCCAAAAAAGTGCGACTTACCAAAGAAAGAAGCCTAAAGTCGTGTTTTATAAGCAGAATTGGCAACTCTGGTAACGCCTTATTGCAAAAATACAAAATGCAGGGCGGTGACTTGGTTCTATCCATTGGTTATTGATTGGATTTTGAGATGTGGGCGTTTCACTAAAAAATGGAGGCAGATGAACAGGAGTTTGGGTTTAAGCATGATTGGAGAAGTCCGGTATACGTCACCATAGAGAAGTCTGTCGTTTTCACCAGAAGATCAAGTTATGACATTCTGATTGAAAATTATGAGGTCAAAAAAAAAAAATGCATGGAATCGTTCACAATAGGATTTATAACATGATTTTGGACAAAAAAAATCCATAAAGGAAGAGAAAAGTTGGCACACCACAGCTCCAAAAATAGAAAAATAATTAATTTATGTTCTCACCACAGGTGACGTTTCGAGCCTAAAAGCTTTTCGCGCCTGGAGCTTTTAGGCTTCAAATGTTACCTGTGGTGCGAACATATATAAATATGTTTCTATTTTTGGAGCTGTGGTGTGCCAGCTTTTCTCTATCTTTTTGCAACTTTTTGTGGTTGAGCACCCTCATTAAGCTTTTTTTTGCCCTTTGGATGTGCACACTTTGTATTGAATCTTTGTAAAAAATAAATTTCCATTAAATTTTAATTTCATGACAACCTTTTTTAATTTATTTTATTATCCAACTCTTATGGAACTAGGCTACTTGGCATTGGCAGATAACAAATAGGCTTAACTGGACACATTTTTGACTGAACTGTAAATAACACAATATTAGCCTAATTATTTGTTTAGCACATCAAAATATTTAGCATACAATATCAAGGAGAATTGGTGACCTCTATAAAAAACCACTAACGTTACTAGCCTTGATAAAACTCCCCCTTCAGATGAAAGAGGAACGTTTGAAAGCGTTTGACCTATCATAGCTAGCCTACTGTAGAAAACAGCTAATTTGCTCATTCTCATTTACTTCATTCATTCAACAAAGAAACATAAACTTTTCAGAACAAACATATTAAAAGACAATAGGCTTAGGCCTCAAGAATAATCAGTGAAAAACGGATCGATAAGAAAAATAAACTCAAATCAGAAGAATAAAAGATTTATGTCGCAGAAAGCACTATATGTGAAGTGTCTGCATCCAGCTGAAAAAAACAAACACACAAACAGACAATAACATTCAACCGATAATAGAAATCCATAAAACAATGCAATTATGATTTAGGCTACACTAGCTATCATGGGTGGATAACAAATAAAGGTCTAAAAGCGTAACGTTACCACTTCACCGAGCAGCAGTAGTCCTTTTCGGGAGGAGATGAATTCTTTACTCGGGAGAAGAGAATGAATTACGGTCTGTCGTGACCGATTACTATCCGACGCCTCGATGTCCCCCATCACGCTGACGAAACTCTTCTGTTCCCGAATAAAGTTCACAGTAGTGATGCGTCCCACTATCCGCTATGAGACAGCTACTCTTCGCAAATCGGCATAACTTTCCACGGAGTGGAAACGGAAATAATGACTGCGGAAACGAACACACAAAAGAGCAGCATCTGCATTCCCGAAATCTGGAGACCGTTAATAAGTGAACAGAAAATGTGGGCGAAACATCTCTCACATCACAGGAGTCTCCAAGTTGCAACTCTAAAGATATTATGTGCAACATAATTCAGACTGTAGCCTACAGTTAACCATTATCCTCTGTTCGGGGTCTGGGTCTGACAGACTTCAAGCCCCGCTAGTAAAAACAAGTATTTGATACTTCCCAACTTTGGCTATGTTGTTCAGAATACTTTATTTCGACCTTCTGATAACTCTAAATTGTAATGTAGACATGCATTTTCTGTAAAGCTGATTTGAAACAACATGTATTGTGAAATGTGCTACAAATAAATGTAAATTGAATAATAACATAATCAAGTTTTCAGAATGTTTTTAGAAGTCTTTAATGAAAAATGTATTTGCGGTCATAAATGCATCCACTGAATAATTAACCTATTTTTTGAACATATCAACATATATAACGTAGGCTACTGTAGACCTGTTTTTATATTGAACATGGTTTGAAGAGATTGTTCTTGCTGGGATCAACCCCAAATTTGCATAATAATTCTTAATTGTTAGCAACAATCTTTAAAAAAAAAAAAGTACATTTTTACTTGTGGAATAAGGAAATTAAATCAATCAGGGTTATTTAAGACAATAACAACAAGATCCTCAATTTGATCCATATATTTCCCTTAGGTTTAACATGTATGCATTGAAAAGACGTGTATGCATGAAAGACGTGAATGCATTATTACTATACAAGTATTTTACAATCTTATTTTGGTGAAAATGGTCCGTTCACAAAATGAGAGAGCTGGTCCTGCAGAGCTTTAATTTCCCCCTGTTTGGGCCTCTGTGGTGGTTCTTGGCTTGTTGAATGTGATTTTTTTGAAAAGGATATAGCCATCCAAAGACAAAACGGCTGCAGCCACAAAGCCCACAATCTGTCAACCAAAAGACTCTGTAGTGAGAAACTTGTTGTGTCATAATACCTGGTTCATTCACAATGAGTATTCACAAAGATGGAATAAGTTTGAAAATGTCTGATAGATTCAATAAGGCCTACACAATCACTGAAAATATAAAGAGAGAGTTCCACGAAGTGAGGATGCGAATTCTCACCCCTCCGCTCAGTGTGCCCTTCACTGTGTACGTAGAAACTGCTACCAGGCTAAGAATACACATCAGTGTAGCTGCAAAGAATGAGTTGAACACATCCTGTGGAGCAAAAGTGCATTATCAATTGTTTGCAATAACAACTGCAGTTCCAGGTATATTCGCATTAATTCAATCAAGTGCATAGATGCTCTTACAATAAGGGGCCAGAAGAAGAAAGTGAACATCTTGTTGAGTTTCAGTAGGTAGAGCAGAAGAAATCCAAATGTGATGAAAAACTCCATGCATGTTGCTGCAATGTATGGGGGCCTAGAAGCCACTGCATAACACACAAAAGCCACAAAAACACACACCTGCCAAGACAGTACTCAAGAGTTGTTCGAGGAATTTCAACAAGACATTTAGTAAGATGGTAAGTAAAATGGTTTTAGACTATATATGTTGCATTATTGGAATGTAATGTGATTTTGTGAATAATGTTTTTCAACATTCTTTGAATTTACATTGTGTCAAATCATCTGTGCGATACCTTGTTTTTTGTTGTTGTTGTTGGTTTAAGCAGGTTTACATTGTTTCCCTTTCTAACCATGTTGTATTCAAAGTATCAAGTCTGTTCCTTGTACTATTTAAACAAGTCAGTGATTGTCTGAGCATTTGTCCTTCCCAAAAAGTATTTTAAAAAGTGTGCAGTAAACTACCATGTAAAATTTTCACAAATGTCTCACCATTTCTGCTATTTTCAGTAGACCTTTTGTGGACTTCAAAAAGGCCAAATCAACTTCCATTGTGGCATTCATATGATCTTTGTTCGTATGTTTTATGTCGATGAGTTGTTCTCAAAACACAGCTTGACACTTGACAGACTTAAAACATTACTTCCTGATTGAATGCTTCCTCTTAGTTAGTATCAGGAAATGACTAATTTCACATCTTTTCTTTTAAATGCACTCAACAGTTTTTCATCAGTATAAACGTATTCTCTGCAGACTTGTTCAGATCTCATCAGATCTTTCTGTCTGGTGATAATATTCCTGGATGCATTGAAAATTATGTAAAGTGAATGCTAAAAGTGATAAACATTCTTCAGCATTTATATTGCAGCTGGTCTATGATCTAGACTCTAGCCCTCAAGCGTCCTTCGTATAGCAACCCTTAATTGGTCCTTCAATTTCTCTCAGGTGTGGTCCAATTTTTTTTTTTTTTTTTAAATACATGTCATGTCATTATCTTTGATCAAATAAAAACAATTTATGCACTTTTTTGTGATTTTTGGGGTATTTTTGATTTTATTTAGCCTACCTCTAAAAATACAATATTTTTATTGTAAAATATGTTTATTTTATATTTAATATTTATTTTACGGACGTAAAAAAGTGTCACTTTGGTGACATGATGGTATAAAATAGCAAAAGAGCCAAAATATCAATAGCACTAGATGCTGTACTCACTGGCTGCATATAGGCTGAAATCTATAAACCATTGTTGTAACAAACTTAACCTATTTAACTTCTTAACCATGTCCATGTTTAGTTAAAATTGTAGAATTATTTAACAACCATTTGTGTTGGGTGAGACTATACAAAGATGCCAAAATATACTTACAGACAAATATGACCATGCTATAAGGAAAAGGCAAAGGAGAGTAACCCTTTAATTCTAACACAAAACATCAAATTTCAAACTCAAAGTACCAAACAGGTAAGAATAAACAATAAACGTAACAATAACTCAATACAAGTAAATGGTAACAAACAGGTAAGAATAAACAATGCACAACATGTTTTGTTTGGAAGCATCAACAAATCATGTGGTAAGACTTTGATCTGACTTTGAAGTGTGTGTGTTGCACAGTGGCTGATTGGCACATTTAAAAAAAAATTGCTCAGTTATTATTGGCTCATTCAATTCTTTGTTTGTGTATGCGTGAGTGACTTTTTATTTGACAAAATAAAAAAATAAAAAAACTGCTCTGTTATAGGCTCATTCAATGGCTTTCAATGCAATGCTTTTGTGGATGTGTGTGTGTATGAGAGAGTGTGATTGTTTGCCACATTGAGAATGTTGTATACCCCTTCATTTGTGTGCATGTATGATCTGCATTGTGGTGTATTTATTGATTTTTATTGGACATAAAAAAATTGCTCTGAATTATATAGTATTTCCTATTTATTTCCGATGGGTGCCCACTTTTGTCCACGAAGAACCAATTAATGAGGTTCTTCGTTAACAAGTCAACTTGTTTCACTCTTTTATTTAAGCAGCCACACATTATTTTACAGACAATTTCAATTCAATTATATTGTGACAGTTTATCGCCTGAGGTTAGCTTTTTATTTCTGGAGGTTGTATTTAGGCTTCACAATTCATAAAAGTTGTTTTTATTTGTGAAAGTTATCTCGGTGGACAAAATGTGCAAGTATCAAACTTTTGTTGATCACAAAGCTTATTTTTTGCAATAATTCAAAAGCCTATGGACAAATCCTATTGGGTTTTCGTCGAGGGAACCAGTTTGATACTAACTTCTGGGTTGGCCTACAAAAATATGTCATCACTGCAGCATAAATAATAATAATAATTTGGTTTCAAATTAGTTTTGTAATTTGGATGTCTGAGATAGCATCATGTTCTGATAAGGAACAAAATAACAAACAGGCTTCCTGAAGTGAACTAACCGAGAGAACATCCCATAATGTAATTGTGTGTGTAATAAGAAACACCCACAGTATTTATAAGTGTGCATAACAAAGGCATAAACTCAAGGCATAAAGAGAAAAGTTTCTTAAAGTAAGATAGCTCTATCTCAACATTTCAACTACTATCTGTAGGCAAGTAAAGTGTATAATATTATTTGTATTAATAATAATGGCTTATTTTGTAATAATTACATAATTTGTGACCATTTTAAAACTGAGACTTTTATTTTGACATGTTTTGGTTGCTCATTAATGTTGCACGTAACACTGCAAGTTTTGCGCATCATCACACTTGCTTATTTGTCTAACGTTATGTAACTACCAAACGTCGATTAAACTAGCGAGATGATTGTTAACTCGTTAAAAACGTTTTACCGTGTTGTCTTACCTTTGTGTTCACACAAATCTCTGTCGACAAATGTACTTGTCCGACAAACACCTACTCTGGGAAAGCATTTAATCGGACATCCGCGTAACAGCAGCACGTCTCTCAGTGACAGTAAGTTCTGCGCCAACTTCCGTTCTACGCAATATAACGGCGACCACAACTCTCATTCTTATCTGTTTTTGTAACATTTTTAGTTCTGTTCATATTTTATTCAAATCTTCACTAACCGAGCTACATTATGCACAAGCAGCTTTGCAATAACAGTAGGCTACTGACATAAGCTTAAGCTTGTTGCCTTGTATCTTACACCCTCGAACCTTTGACTGATGCCATATTGATCTAACGCTGAATCCGAGAAGAGATTCATTATGTTGTCTTCTTCTGAAGGAAAACTGGCTAGAAACGGCGAGGGGAGGAAATCAGTGGTAAGTTACGACTGATGAATAGATCCTCTTCTCTGAAAGGCTGATAACACAGTGAACATAATATCGTTAAAGATGTAAGTTGTTTTGAAATTTGTATCCACTTTTGTTCAGATTTGGTTAGAGGGAAATATTGCAAGTGGAAAGACAACATGTTTGGAGTACTTCAGCAAAACCAGTGACGTTGAGGTAATAAATGTATAACATTTCTCACAGTACCTGTAATCTCTCTCCCTCTATTCTTAATCTTATTAATTTATTTAATAGAAAACTAAAACGTGTCTTGTGTTTCAGGTGCTGACAGAGCCTGTCTCTAAATGGAGAAATGTGCAGGGTTGCAATCCATTGGTAGGGATCCAGTAGCACTTTACTGTGGGTTTAATGAGCTTTGTCGTTCTCCCTATCTTTTCACAGCTGAGTTAAGCCTGCTCAAAATTCTGTGTAAAGATGCAATGCAGCATAAAATACTAAATTAGGCCTGCTCCAACCCAGCTAAGCCCCTTCTATACCAATATGCAGGTAAAATTGTTGTGTAAATGCATTTATGCCACCTCTGAGCAGCATTAAACAGCCTGTGTAAAGACACCTAATTTTCACTTCAGAGACACTTCTGTGCCACCTTTGCACTGTAAATGTGGCACAATTGTAGGCTATAGCCTACTTTATTGCATTAAGGCATCTTTACACAGAGAAGTTAAAGCTGCTTTGTGCCTGCTCAAAATTCTGTGTAAAGATACTATGCCGCCCCACCTCTGACCCACCTCAGCCCCTAGTATCAAATCATACAGTGCATTTGACACCTATGAACAGCATTAAACAGTCTGTGTAATAGCACTTAAATGCCACTTCAGAAGTGCCCCTGCGCCAGCTTTGCAGTGTAAATTTGTTATTATTAGACTTGATTATCTTAATGCATGTTTACACAGATGAGTTAGGGCTGCTCTGTGCCTGCTTAAAATTCCGTTGCCACATAAAAGCCAGACAAAATTATGCCTGCTCTGACCCACCTCAGACCCTGGTTTAAAGGTATATGGATACAATTCCAGTGTAAATGCATTTATGCCACCTTTGAGCAGCATTAAACAGTCTGTGTAAAGACACTTAAAAGCATCTTCAGAAGCTGTTCTATTAAACTTTTGCTGTGTAAATTTGGCATTATAAATGTATTCTATTCTGTCGCAGGGATTGATGTACCAGGACCCAATCAGATGGGGGCTCACCCTTCAGACATATGTGCAACTCACAATGCTGGATCGCCATGTCAAACCAATGGCATGTATAAGTCCTCTTTCACATCCCTACAGTCAGTTTTGTTCAGTTGCTTTACATGTAGCAGTTTCTGTTCTGCAATACAGAAATGAATCACCGCCGTCTGTGTGAATAGAGGAAATGGAATGCTAATCATTCATGACCTGTTGTTTTTCTTTCTATCATCACAGTCACTGCCAATCAGAATGCTGGAAAGATCTATTTACAGCGCTAAGTACATTTTTGTGGAAAATCTTTTTAAAAGGTAGATTTGATCAGGAATCTGAAATAACTTTATATGTCAACTATTTATTATTAAATGTGTAGCTGTTATCGTTAAATAAAACCGTATTGTTTGGTTGACAGTGGAAAGATGCCTGAGGTGGACTTTGCTGTTTTAAGTGAATGGTTTGAGTGGATCATAAAGAACATTGCTATTCCTGTGGACCTTATTGGTATGGCAAATATTTCTGTATTGCACTGCATGTTGCTTGTTATTGTGTAATGTTACTAATACATGTGTGTTCACATATATTTTTACTCAGTTTACCTGCAGACCTCTCCACAGACCTGCTACGAGAGACTAAAGCAGAGGTGCAGAGAGGAAGAAAAGGTTATTCCCTTGGTGAGCTGTTGTTGAGCTATAATTCAACTATTGTGTGCATACAATCTGAAACAAAAAGCAAAGTTGAGTCTCTACTCCTACTGGCAATGGATGACTTCATGTTTTCAGAAGGATAGATTACTAATATTTCACATTTTATCATATTTTTTGAGAGATACTTTCACTGATTTGCACACTTTAGGAATACCTAGAATCCATCCATAACCTGTATGAAGACTGGCTGATTCATCAGAAGTCATTTGAAGTTCCTGCTCCAGTTCTTGTGAGTTTCTGTCAATATTTGTTGGTTAAAAAGCTTTACTGCATCAAATGATATGTATTGTGACATACTGTATAATCACCTGTTGACGAGCTGAAATCATGAATAATGTTCCATGCAATATGTATTGAAGTTATTTTTTTTTTTTTCACATTGGTGGGCAGGTAATCCCAGCAGATCATGATCTTAAGAAGATGCTGCATAAGTACGAGGAGAACAGAGAGAAGATACTAATGGTGCATTGATCTTGATTCTTGAGTAAAGGATCTCAGAGAATGATGGTTTTATTGGTTTACAAATTTCTTCAGCTCTCTCAGAGACAGATGAAGCAGGCACTTTGTGCAAACATTCCTCCTGCAATGGAAGTTGATTTAGGAAATCATAGTAGGTTTGGTAAATTATTTTATATCAGTGTTTTATTTGATTACTGCTTTTTATGGTTATTACGTGTATTTGCATTTGTATTCCTTGTAAACCTGGTTTAAGCATTTAACAGAATATAAAGTCATTTAATTGTTTAGTTTTATAGAATCATTCCATATTATCTGAAACTACTGCACTTGGAAACATTTCCATTGGTTCTTTTGTTACATCAGTAGACATTTTAAATTCAGAATGGCCATTCGAGGGCATGTACATGTATTCTATGTGATTTGCTCCTGCATTTTACATTTACATCATCATACTCAGGTGTAATGAAAGATCCCTTTTTTATTTTCATGTTCATTCTGCCACTTGCAGATACCATCACTAAACAAGTACAGATCCTGATGGTAAATGTATATTACTTAAGGTGTTACTGAGACCAATGTATTTTAAACTGCACAAGACATCGTTTTAAATAAACTACATGAACAATTATTTGAAAATATTGATTTTATTACATTTCAAATCTAGTCACATAATTGTATGGCATGTTCCACTGTAGCCTCAGTAGTACTGTAAGATTAATACAAAAAAATGTACGACCTTATTACTTTCAATAAAAGGCAGTATAAGAGTCACCAGAACACCATATTTTTTACATTTATATGAACCTACATGAATCCAAGGTTAAACAGTCCTGCAGAACAAGTGTTCTTCCATTAAGACATGTAGGTGCACATTTAGTAAGGCACAGTACCTAATAAATCAAGCTCTAAGAATCATTTTGACCCAAGCAAGCTCCCAGGCAACATTTCATGGTGGGGCCAATGTAGGCGTGATATGGGCTTGAGGTATGGGTTTGTCTATGGGTTCCTATTCTTTCCTATCTGAATTGGCACCAGTATAGGTTAATTCAGGTAGGGTCAACATGGAACCCATGGACAAACCATGAAATGTTAGCTGGGTTCATGAAAATGATAGCAGCAAGAAACCTTCCTTCACTTAAAAAAGCTAAGATAAAAGGTATGGCACACAGACATTCTTCCTGTTACCTTCAGAAATTGTAAGATGCCAAAGCTAATCAGAAATCATGGCTTTATTAACGAGAAACTTGGTATCAATAAAAATGCTTCATACATCATTACTAGCACAAAGGTATTATTTTAGTCACTGCACTGCCACACTAGCATACTTTAAAATATCTGGCATGGATGAGGAAAAAACCTTTGTGTCTCTAAACCATCACGTATGTTTGGTCTAGCTCGTCTTCTGGTTGTTGAGATATGGGACTCTTGTGTGTGCTTGCACCCTCATTAGCAGTCTGACTGTGGTCAGTTGGTGGTCCAAACACTGTTGTACATTCGTTCAGTGCGCTAGGGATGTAGATTGACTGAGGAGGCTCTTTAATAGTGCCGTCCTGTGTAAGAACGCCATCAGATCCAGCACAGCTCCCGCAACCTGCAATGTTGCAGACAGGCTCCTGGGATGGGCTGCACAAGATGGGCAGGCTCATGCCATCTGAGGATTTTGTGGGTGGGGTTGTGATGACGTCATTATGTCCACTAGATGGCTGGGCCTGTGCGGTCTCCTCTATGGGGTATTTAAGGGGTTCATCTGCACTGAGGTCCTTCACGTGCATTTTCCCCATTCGCTCAGTGAGGTCAAGCAAGCAGTCTTCTGTTGAGCCTTCACGGTTGCGTCCTTGCAGCAGTGTCCCGACTTGAAGCACCAATAGGTTGTCATCTAAGGCCTGGGCTTCTACAAGTGGATTTGGGATGTGTAGCTTTCTATGACCTGGGGTGGTCTCATTGTGTATGGCTATAGACTGGGGTCCACTCATGTCAGTACTGACCTCGTGGAACAGGGCTGCATTGTGGCCCCTGCATCCAGCCTTCTCCTGGGCCTTGAGAGGCTGCATCATTCTTTGAGACTTTTGGAAAATAGGCTTTTGTCGGATGGCCAGGTCTGGGTAGTTCTCCCGCATCTCCAAGATAGACTTATCATCAGTCATGAATGAGCTGGATGGTCTTTCTACATCAGATATAGTACTGTCTAGAGACTTGTTGACTTCCTGATTATGAGGTTCATGACTTTTAAGTGACACTTGCTGCTGTTGTTCCCCTGGGTTTACCAGTGAGCCGCCTTCAACATGCCCATCATCCTTAAAAACATCCTCATTTAGATTACAGATGTCATTGATAGGTTCTGAAACTTCTTCCCCAGCACTGAAGGTCAAAGGAGAAGCTCTCGTTCGGAGGATGTCCAGACATTCTACATGTGATCTCTGGTTCATGAGTTCGAGAAGATACTCGCACTCTAACTTGGCAAGGAAAAGGTCGAATCCCATACTCTTGGCCTTTTCAGGGTCAAAATGATCAGACAGTCTATACTCAGTGTCTGTTTCCACACAGTATCCGATAATCTGAAGAATACTCCTGGCAAAAGGCAATACTGGCTTGATGTGATAGACAAAGTTTCCTGTAAATTTCTGAGAGAACAGGGAAAAACAGTACCAATTAATGATATAGGAATTTATAGAATTTATGACATGTTTTAGGCCTCTTTTCACTTCTAAAACAATTCGACCTTTTGTCCTGACTTTGTGTTCAATTAATTAAACTCATGTTCTTTTGAGACTGAGAGTGTGTACACCAGTCTAAGAAATTTGGGATTTGAAATTTCACTGAATGTATTCTTTATTTTTATACCCAGGGTCTTTGAGACCCTAAATAGAGGTAAATAATAGAGGACTGTTGAGATAGGTTATGTCAATTGGAAATTATATAGAAAGATATAATAATATAAAAACAGAGCAATTCCAGGAGGGTTCTCACACCATCGGTGCTCGGGCCCTAATTATACAATAATACAATGATACATTTTATGCTATAAAGGTTTAGTTTTTAGAACATTTAAGGTGTATTCATCAGTTTAGACTGGTCTAGCAGGTCTGCCAGTCAACAGACCAGCCTGGGAGACCAGCAAAACCATCTTTAATCCCCTCTAAAATCAGCCAGACCAGCTTAGGAAATTATTAAAGAACAGCAAACCACCTGAGACTGTTTAAGCTGTTTTTAGCATTATCAACTCTCAGACTATTGGCTATGGCAACATTTGGTATAAGGTTTCACAGACAAGGCAGCCTCAATCCCAGACTAACATGCATGTATGAGCTGTTTTAACTGAAAGCAACTCAGCTGTCCTGACCAAAGGGAAAGTATAGCCTACCCCAAACCCTTCTAAAACCAGAAAACAGACTGGCTATGAGACCAGAGAAGAACAGCAAACCATCTGTGGCTGGCTGTTATTGCCATCAGCTGGAAGAGAGAGAACAGACCTATCGAATCGATAAAACTTTTATTTACCTTTAATGTTTTAATCTCTTTCTTCCACGGAAACAAAAACAGGTTGACACAGAACATCTCCAGTAACTCCGCGGCTTTTCTAAAGTCGTGGACGTGTCTCTGGCAGTCTCTGTATTGTGCGTACTTATACAGAGTCTCGTAGAAGTCCAGCATGGTGTTGAATCTCTTCCGCGGCTCTTCCTCCGGCAACAGCAGCACGCGCCTGGCTTCATCTGTCACCTGTGTCTCTGAACACACTTTCACATCGCCTTCACAACTAACTTTGTCGTAGTACTGTAAATACTTAACGAACACGTCTTTCCGCGAAACCGGCGTTTGATCGTCGACGCTGTTGGTCATGTCTGTGATCAAGTTGATCAAGTTGTCTCCCGATGAGGAAGCGAAAGTAGTATGCAAATAATAAGGAGGGATGATGATGCATGCAGGTATCGCCAACGACGCAAATACGGAAGAACCTAACCTATATTTTCTGATTCTATTTCAATCACGGTCCAGGATACTTTAATAGCCATAATGTCCATGACCATAAGCAAAACGGTCCTGTATCGCAGGCATAGAGTTGTTCATCTCAGCCTTAATAGACACGTATGCAATATATTAAACATAAACTCAATTATACCAGTAGCATTTTTCAATGTTTTGACCGAAAAACGTTGATGATATAGCCTACCTATATGTCACCATTGTTGTTATAATTTTTTTTCGAATGTGGGAAACATTACTGACATCTAGTGCAGAAAATAAGTAATTTTCATGGCTTTTATGTAAGAATGGCCAGAAGACGGCGATGTAATCATACAGTTGACTCTTATTCAAGTCAAAAACACTTTTTCGTAGGCATACGTCACAAAGGAAAATACCTTGGGTATCTCTGGGGAAAATCCAGCTTTAAACGTTATGGAACATTTTAAGTAGACTCATCTTGTGTAAAAAAAAAAAACACTCTTGGTGTGGTAAACATTCAGTAGGCCTACAATATAGTAAGGTACCATCTGATGATGGCCACAGTAGGCTAGCCTACTTATTGTAAGCTCAGCGTGCAATAAAGGAAATTCCATGTGATACAGACCGTGAGTATGGGACATGAGCAAGGAATAAAGCAGGAGCTCCTGGAACTATGACTGATCTAGCCTGCACGGGGAGATAAGTAATAAATAAATTATATATAATTGATATTATATTGTGATTATATTATTAATATTATAAGATATTGAGATATTATATTGTTGAAAACAGTTATTTTAAATTATATATTTTACTGTATTACTCTTTTTACTGTATTTTGATCAAATAAATGCAGCCTTTCAAAAACATTTAAAATCTTACCGACCCCAAACTTTCGGATAATAAATGAATTTGTTTGGAATATGAACAACATTAATAATCAAAATTACTGAACTCCCTTGACCTGCAAGACATTTTGTTGCTGAGATTTTATGAAAACAATTCAACAAAGGCATCAGTTATAGAAAATATATTAATACACATTTGAGTGATTCTGAGAATGTAAAGTTGATGGAAAAAAAAAAAATCAAATTGACTTTCACAATTATTCAACCCCCAAAAGTGAAATTTTGTGCAGAATCTTTTATTCTTTATAATCTCCAATAAACGCAGCCTGTAAGTGCTTAGAAGCTTCTGTCACATGATCTCTACTGTAATCTCGGCCCATTCCTCGCTTGAAAAAGCTTCCAGATCAGATCACTGATAATCTTTGGTTTTCACATTACCATGCTTTCTTCAAATTACACCAACTATTTTCAATGAGATGTCATTTTGAAGACTGTACAGGCTTAAAAAACATGATAGGCTACGACTGATCCCTGAACCAAGCTTAAGTAGATCTAGATGGATACTTTAGGATGGCTGTTCTGTAGGAAAGTCCATTGATCATCAAGCTTCACGCTCTGCACCGAAAGCACCACCATATTTGCTAAAATGGCTGATACTTCAAAAAATGAATGATGTCCTTCATACAGCTCTTTTGACTTTACCATATTTGCTACTCATCTTTAGCACATGCATGGGCTAAATGTATGTATGTGTAACAGCACATGCTAATACAGTTTTGTTATAGTTTCCAAAGGCTTCATTTTGTTTTAACACAATTTTGAAGCATACCACACAAATGAGTGACTTAAAAACAGCAGCGTTGAATAGGGGTTGAATCCTAAAAAAAACATTACATTATATATTGACATTATCACTTTTAATTTGCCACTAAACTGTTATAGATGCAATTTTTAAATAAAAAACTCTGTAAAGCTTATAAATTATTACAGTCTCCGGGGGTTAAATAATTTTGATTGCAACTACCAACACATAACAATCAAGTTAACTAACGTATACCAAAACATACGGAATGCAGCAAATATTACAGGATCACAAAATGCACAAAACTTGGCACTTATGTCACTGAATAAAGAGTTATTGGTGCTGGAGAATAAAAAAAAAAAATTATAACAGGAACTAAAGGGAGAAGAAGCTACTTCCATTATCTCACTTATACCTTATCTGACCTGATAAGGTGAAATATTCGGTAACACTTTATTTTAAGATGACATAATTTCACAAGTTACATTTGCTTACCATATAAATAATTGTAATGTAACAGCAAATGATGTGTAATTACTTGCAAGTTGCAACTAACCTAAACCAAACCTTATCCCCAACCCTATACCGTAAGTACATGTAGTTAATTACCATTCCTCAGTACTTATTACACTGTAACTTCACTGTAACACTTTTAACCAAATAATCCTTGTAACCAAATAATCAGTAGATGGTAAAATACACATTAATTACATATAACAGTACATGTTTAAAATAACTTGAATAAAATGTTTCAGATGTTTGTTTGATTCTGTAGTGTGATAGAGTTGAGTGGCTTTGCATGGATGAAATGAGCATTCTCTGGTATAGTTTAATAGAAGAGGATCTCTGGGACAAGAGGCTAATTAAGGTGAGAGCTATGGCACAGGCCATCTGTTCAGGGCGCTTTCTGTGAGCCCACCATGCAAACAGGCAGGAGAAAGAGAGATGAATATCCACATCAGTGCTAGCGAGAGGCTTGTAATGCATTATGAATGACAGGAGTCAATGAGCAAAATGGTTCAGGAAACATTCTGTCCACCTGGAAGCCTTTAGTTTAAAATCAACATCTGTTCCTAAACTGCACATTCTTCTCTGAAACTTGCCAGTGGTAACTGCACAACAAAATCTTACATTGCTATCTATACTGAATTTACTACACCCTAAAAATAATTCAGTGGCTCTGTAAATCACAATAATGTTACATTAATAAAATCTCTGATTGTTTGAGCTGGACATACCAAAGTAAATGCTTAAAAATCCAACAATTTTGTCCTAATGTTAATCAATTATTTCAGTTTTTTTAACAAAATAAAATTAGCTTTCAGTCAAAATATTTGAGAATGAAGAAATTATACCATTTTGTTTAGTTTTTTTTTACAGAATGTTATTCATTTTTACTTATTGTAACGGGTGTGTAGCGGGCAGAAGAAGAGTCAAAGTCAAAAGGCTCCAAATCAGACAGTTTTACTAATATAAATCACTGGTACAAACAGGCAGGCAGGATAACACACACGTTGAATACAACTAAATGCAAATAACAACGACAAGGACTAACTGAACTGAAGGGAACTAAATACAGAGACTGATGAACATTGATTAGTGAAGACAGGTGAAACAGATGATGATTAACAAGACAGGTGCTACAGATGAACTAATAAAGACACGTGACATGAAGACAGCAGACAACTGTGGCTGACGTGAGGTGAAGGCTCTGTGCTGGGCGGGACCAGCGGTGAAGGCTCTGTGCTGGGCAGGACTAGCGGTGAAGGCTCGGCAGGGCTGGACGGGACCAGCGGTGAAGGCTCTGTGATGGACGGGACCAGCTGTGCTGGACGGGACCAGCGGTGAAGGCTCTGCGCTGGACGGGACCAGCGGTGAAGGCTCTGCGCTGGATGGGACCAGCGGTGAAGGCTCTGCGCTGGACGGGACCAGCGGTGAAGGCTCTGCGCTGGACGGGACCAGCGGTGAAGGCTCTGCGCTGGACGGGACCAGCGGTGAAGGCTCTGCGCTGGACGGGACCAGCGGTGAAGGCTCTGCGCTGGACGGGACCAGCGGTGAAGGCTCTGTGCTAGACAGCGGTGAAGGCTCAGTGATGGACGGGACCAGCGGTGAAGGCTCAGTGATGGACTGGACCAGCGGTGAAGGCTCAGTGATGGACGGGACCAGCGGTGAAGGCTCAGTGATGGACGGGACCAGCGGTGAAGGCTCAGTGATGGACGGGACCAGCGGTGAAGGCTCAGTGATGGACGGGACCAGCGGTGAAGGCTCAGTGATGGACGGGACCAGCGGTGAAGGCTCTGTGCTGGACGGGACCAGCGGTGAAGGCTCTGTGCTGGACGGGACCAGCGGTGAAGGCTCTGTGCTGGACGGGACCAGCGGTGAAGGCTCTGCGCTGGACGGGACCAGCGGTGAAGGCTCTGCGCTGGACGGGACCAGCGGTGAAGGCTCTGCGCTGGACGGGACCAGCGGTGAAGGGTCTGCGCTGGACGGGACCAGCGGTGAAGGCTCTGCGATGGACGGGACCAGCGGTGAAGGCTCTGCGCTGGACGGGACCAGCGGTGAAGGCTCTGCGCTGGACGGGACCAGCGGTGAAGGCTCTGCGCTGGACGGGACCAGCGGTGAAGGCTCTGCGCTGGACGGGACCAGCGGTGAAGGCTCTGCGCTGGACGGGACCAGCGGTGAAGGCTCTGCGATGGACGGGACCAGCGGTGAAGGCTCTGCGCTGGACGGGACCAGTGGTGAAGGCTCTGTGATGGACGGGACCAGCGGTGAAGGCTCTGCAATCTTGTTTGGCGACAAGGGCTCGGGCAAGACGTGGAGATCAAGGTCAAGACTGCCAAGAAGATCCGGCATGGCGTGGTGATCAGGCATGACGTGACGATCTGTTAGGGCTGGCTGTGTCCCGGATCGAGGCCCGACACTCTCCAGACACCGGATGACGGTCGCTCTCCAGTCCGGTGGTGTCTGGGAGGTCTATACGCTGGTTGAAAGTGGCCCCGATCTGGAACAAAGTACACAGTCTCTCATCGTTGAGGTCGCTGTGGGCAGCAAGACGGCAAAAGCCTAGAGAAAATGTTAGGAGATCTTGGCTCTCCTTGGCCAGGACGATAATTTTCACCCCGTCATCCATTTAGGGCGGTCGGTTGCAGGCAGGATAACAGACACGTTGAATACAACTAAACGCAAATAACAATGACAAGGACTAACTGAACTGAAGGGAACTAAATACAGAGACTGATGAACATTGATTAGTGAAGACAGGTGAAACAGATGATGATTAACAAGACAGGTGCTACAGATGAACTAATAAAGGCACGTGACATGAAGACAGCAGACAACTGTGACACTTATATACTAATAGATATATTTTTACTTACATTTACTTTTCTGATTTCACAACTTTAAAATGTACTCAATATTTTTAAGTGTTAAAATGTTTTACCAAAACAATGAGTTCATCATAGTTTAAAGGTACACTATGTAACTTTTTTTGTTCAAAATTAACAAAATTTAAATAATCAATAGTATCAAAAATTTAAAGAGTCAATACATCATCATCATTAATGCTTCTTCCAAACTTGTTTTTGTCTTACCCTGATTCATTGTAAGCCTATTTATTAAGTGTTTATATTTTAGAACTGATGGGATGGTTTTTCGCGGGAAATTACGTCACTCGTGTTTCGTCATGTTGATTCTCTTTTTATTACAAACTCTGTCGCATTCTCTTTTTGCCAGCAGACTCTCCTCTCCTCTGTTCTGTTTTTTTTTTTAAATGGGTGATTCCCCAGAGATTAGTTGTCACAACAAACGATAAATCTCTAACCTCTGGGGAATCACCCATTAAAAAAAAAACACAGAACAGAGGAGAGGAGAGGAGAGTCTGCTGGCAAAAAGAGAATGCGACAGAGTTTGTAATAAAAAGAGAATCAACACTGACTTGGCTTTTTGGTGATAGCGAGGATTGAGGGATTTGAAATGTTGTTAAAGCGACACAGATGCCAGGGTTTTTTTTCCTCAAGAGATGATTTATGTATTTTATTGAATAGATAAATTGCCATATGTAGCTCTCTAACAGACTTCATATAAGCATTATATATTGTAAAGGGTCATATGGTTGTTGTAGCACTGTGCTGGAATTTATTTTCAAGGAAGTACCAGGTATTTTAATGGGTGTATAGCTAAAGTCTTCAGCTGTCAACTTGAGATCCTTTCCATCTGGTTATCTCTTAAAAGGTTATTTCACCTCAAAATGAAATTTCTTTCATTAATTACTCACCCTCATGTCGTTCCAAACTCTTAAGACATTCGTCCATCTTCGGAACACAAATGAAGATATTTTTGATGAAATCCGAGAGCTTTCTGATCCGACAGCAAAATCATTGCAACTTTCAAGGCCCAGAAAGATAGTAAAGAGATTGTTAAAATAGTCCAGCTGAAATAGTCCAGTGCTTCAAATGTAATGTCATGAAGCGATGAGAATACTTTTTGTGCTAAAAAAACAAACATCTTTATTCAACAATTTCTTCTCTTCTGTGTCAGATCTCGCTATTCGCGTAGTAAACAGTGCAGCACTTCCGGGTTCTACACCAGAATGCCGCATCACTATTGGCCGATGCTGGTCATGTGAGCACACGACAAATGTGTGTAATGCTGACACAGGAGCTGGCCAATAGTGAGGTGGCGTTCTGATGTAGAACCCGGAAGTGCTGCACTGTTTACACCACGTCAACAGCGTAAGAGAATGATGTCGCAGGTAAGAGATTGTTGAATAAAGTTGTAATTTTGGGGGGTTTTTGCGCACAAAAAGTATTCTCGTCGCTTCATAACATTACATTTGAACCACTAGACACATGGACTTTTTTAACGATGTCTTTACTACCTTGCTGGGCCAGTTGCAATGCCAGTTGAAAGTTGCAATGAAGTTGCTGTCTATGGAGGGATCAGAAAGCTCTCAGATTTCATCAAAGATACATTTGTGTCCCGAAGACGATTAAAGGTCTTAAGGGTTTGGAACGACATGAGGGTGAGTAATTAATGAAAAAAAAAATCATTTTTGGGCAGACTGTCCCTTTAAGCCTATAGTGAATGTTTTATGAGTAGTTGGATAATCTTCACGCAGAGCTGATACAAAACTAAAACAATTTTATTCTGCAAATGCATACCGTTTTATTTTTTAACCGCTAGAGAGCCAAAAGTTACATAGTGTACCTTTAAGTTTGTGTGTGTGTGTGTGTGTGTGTGTGTGTGTGTATCACTACTCTGTATTTACAAAATTGACAATTTCAAAATTCTCCCAGAAAGCATTCAGATATGAACGTGTCGATAGATAGAAGTCTGGTGTTTTTATTTATTCAGAGGATACAGTGGTAAAGGAATAAAGACTATACAAAACATACATCGACATCTGCAGCTCTATGAAACAGCATTATCACTTTGGACAACTGACCAAAACATTATGACAGTGAAATAACACACTTGAGATGTAGATTCATTAAATGTAAGTCAACATTTACAATGGGTTTTGATGCTAGGGTGCTATTCTGGTGTAAGAATCAATATCCATGTGGTCTAATGAAACTGGTGAAATAGTTTAGCACACAAACATAAGCCATTTGAAAGTGTTTTTCTGGAACATCAACTCCATAGATGCAACTAAAATGCACAAACCTCTAAAAACAGACAGAAAATATGCAACGAATGGGAAGTAGATCTTCATTAATAATAATTTGGCAAAATTCCTTTTAATCTGACTTGTGTTAATTTTATCTTTATGCACACAGAATTGCTACAGTCTCGTGCTAACAAGTGTGACTTAAACTCGAGAGTTTACAGATACAGTACTAGTTTTACAGTGTGGTGGCAACAGCTAATACACCTCTACTCATTACATCATATAACATCTGGAGCATTTCTTCATCTAAGGTGTTGACCAATACAGCTCATGCCTTTACAGAGCTATATGACCAGAACGAGACAAGCTCGACATTCAAAGTTCAAACTACAATAAATAAATAATAGTGGGCCATTTAATATTCATTTCTGTTTTGAGCTGCTTTTCACGACACAAGAAATGCATTCATGCACCAAATTCAATTGAATAAATCCCTACAGACCCTCTTTTCTATAAGAATATACTTTCGTGCGGTGAGGGGAGCGTGAGGAGAATTAGAGGTGAGGTATCATGCAGTCATTTTATGGGACACTTTTACACTAACACACACACACGCGTGTGTGTGTCTGTGTGTGTGTGTGTGAAGGTAAGACAAAAAAAAAGTGAGTGGAAAAGTTTCTTCACTTTAGCATGTTAATCTAACAGTCATGATGATTAATAGGCACATTGTATATAACATGCATGTGGGGGAAGCCACTGTGTTATAGTAAATGAAGTGGGCAATGGGCAACAAAAACAGGAACAAATCTGATACATAATTATTTTGGAAGCACAGAGTGTGTCCAGCAAGAACTATCTTATGTTTCATTTCATATTGACATCAATGCTACAATGGCTTTGCTATTGAGCTACTTAGTTACCAGTCTCAGCTCTTCTGTTATAATGTACACAGCATCAATGCAGTTTAGGAGAACAATGTAAAATTGTTTAACACCCTTTGGCAAAGTGTCCCCTACAGCCCTTTCTAACTATAGTTTGTATTTGTCATATGCATTGATATCATACATATCGCACATCTGTTGTTTTCTTAATAAGATCTTCAGATGCATTTGAAAACTAGCATTGCCAGGAGACTTTAGGAAAACAGTAGTCTCTGCAAAAAGAAGGAAATATAAAGAAATCACAGTGATCTATGAACTAGCTGGAAAGCAGTGGTTCTCAACCTTTTTGACTGCAAGGCTTCTTTGTCCAAGACAATAATTAAACTTAATATGGCATGAAATGGAAGTTGCGATAGTTTTTCTTCCTTACTGTGACATATCTGAGGGAAATGGCCTATTGAACAAGAAAAAGGGGCAGGACTTGATTTTTGTCCATCGGGAATGGATCGGATCGTTGTGGTTTGCTATTGCTTTGACGTCATGTGAGTGACAGATTGTCCCGCTCTCGTCATCAGAGAAGAGAAGAGATGTTGCTGCAAGAGGGAGGGAAAGTTATTTTGATTAAAGATTAAGGGGGCACACAAAATAAAAAAATAATTATAATAATGATGTGCACGGATAAATCATGTGTAATTAATAGAGCAATATTCCATAAAAAAAATGAATTGTCAATTTTGACTTCATGGTGACTTTAAAAAATATATAATGTCAGTTTAATGTTGTATATCAAATTTTTTGTTTGTTTTTTTCAATATTTTAATTAATATTATGTTAATATAAATAATTATAGGACTTTTGGGGCTGGAATTTACCCTCTGGTTGAGAACCACTGATAGCAAATAAATTGTGTGTAGAAAAGTATGGATAAAAAGCATATATCGATCATCTGATGACATTCAAATTGCTTTAAAGGTAATTTCTCATATTTGCTAGTTATTCTATGAAATGTACAAAATATTGTCTTAAAAAAAAACTTTACAGATTACAAAACGTAAATAGTTAAAACCAACGCTAAATTGGGAAAAAAAGAAGAAAAAAAGGTTGTAAGAGATAGTCATGTGGAAATAGTCACTCATGCAGGGACCACGCTCAAATTGTCACACTAAAAAAGAAAGGTACATTTCTATTCCCACGTAAATTTCTCCAGGTGATGTTTATTGGGAGGCTTTCTGCTCTTTTTTAAAGTCAGGCCATCCAAAATTAGCTGTGGTGTTTGTGAAGTTGAAATCATCAATAAGTCTATCAGTAAGAGAAGACGCACGTTGACATATAATTACACCATAAGCAAAAGGTGAGGTGACGCACAAAAAAAGTGGTCGATAGCCCTGTGCTCTCATGGCGGCTCCCGCTTTGTCAGATAAAACAGGAGGTGCAGTGTCTGCGTCAGGTGAAGTGAGAGGTAATTGTGGGCTTCTGCAGGTGTCGGTTTCAGCTCTTGACTCAGGGAGACCTCAGCCACACAAAAGAGTCCCTCTCAAAGCTGGTTTGGTACAGGTGACGCATGAGTGTGCTAGAGAGGTCAGGATTACAGGATCCTGTGGGAAACGCTGTCCTGAGGACTGCTGTCCGCTGTAGTGTGTTTGAGCAGATCCAGGGGCATCAGTGGAAGGGGCTGGTTTTGTTCACACACTACTGCTTCGTATGGGGGCGCTTCTTCAAAAGGTAAGGCTGACAAAGAGATGGAGGCGATCGGCTGGGGTCTGAAGTCCTGTAGTCTGGTTGGGTATTGGGAAGAGCTGCTTGCAGACACCCAGGAAGCACCAGCGGGCAGATCCTCCGTCTCTCTGTGATAGTGTGCACGACACGGGTCTGTGAGGGAGTAGGGGGGTGGATCGTCCGTAGGAATATATATTTGCGTCCCTTGTCCCACACATTCATCGTAACTGAAATAAAAATACCATTTTGATTAAATATGATTATATACATTTCAAAACCTTTCGACAACATTTCTATCAATATAATATCAAAGTTTGTTAAATATAGGAGGATCCTGTCGCACACCTTTTTAGGGAACCACAACATATGTACTGTAAACTTGGTAGGTTAACTATTCTAACCACTAGAGGGCAGGACATGTATTGGCCCAGGGATTTTACAAAAATGTTTTGCCAAGAACCCCTAAATATGTTGATCCCCTTGCTAATATATAAATACATATAATCTGTATGGGGGAAATACATAGTGTGATATTATAAAGAAAACATGTTGTCTCCAGAATAAAAAAAAAATACTTTTTTTACTGTCATTATAATAAAGACACACACAAAGTATTATATGATAAATATTAAATATACATTTCAAATACACCTAAATGTAAGAAATCTTTCAACAATATTGTTAATTAGGGCTGTCAACAGAACGAAATATTGTGATTAATCTAATGATAGGTCAGAATTCTTTATTATTATTTTGGGAATTTTTTCTTGGACTCAGCAGTGGCAATGACACAAATAACATATTCAAACAATGACATGCATCTAAAATGATAAATTAACCCTTAAACGCATACCTCGGGTCTTTAGTGACCCGGGACGTCATTCACTACCCTCCTCCTCATTCTTTTTTTTTTAAAAGTTAGACATTAACCTTATTCATGTGTTCTTAAATCAATTTATTATAAACAATATAACAAGAAAAAATAATAAAATTATAAAAGAATGCCTGTTTTCCCATTCATTTTTGTATATTGTATTGTATATGGTCACTAACAACTGAGGTGTGTAACAGTGTAAGCATATTTTTTTTCTGCACAACAATAATTGATTCTTTGATAACTGAATAAGTGCAATTTACACAATGGTGTCTGATACACAATGGTGAAGTGACGTTTCACTCATAGTTACCGGAGGCAGAAAACAAAAGAATGAAGTATCATCAGCAAAACTTGAAATGGCTCAGTGATTTACTGCAGAGCAAGTACTGAATGCAATCAAATATTAATGTCACAGTCACTGGATGGTGGATCTGGTGAAGAAGCTGTCAGCGATCAAAATATTGGTTTTGAAGATGTTGAAAATGATCATTTTGAGAATATGTTTGAGATTGTGAATATTAGCCAGATGCTGAATGTACTGGGAAATGAGCTCTGATGAGGACAGTGATGATGGTAAAACATCTGCTCAAACTGAACCCTTCCAAGATCCAAAAGGTAACAAAATATGCTTTATTTCATTCTTCTGTAAATGTTACTCTAATATCAGGAGAGTTTTATATTATCTGGACAAGTAGAGATTCATCCAGATATAGATCCAGAATTATTGCGCTGGGCATATTTAATATTTAGCACAATCTTTAAACGCTCTAGTACTATCTTTTCTAAAAAAATCTTTAGGTTTTCTGTGGACCCTAGAACACTCCCTTCCAGCGTCTTGTGACTCTAGGCCTGTTTAAAATATAACATAAACTTAAAATGTATATAATATATCTAACAAAATTAATACAATACAAATTAATATAATACAAATATTATATAATAATAAATTAATAAAAAATTTAAAGTATAGTTTAAGTTGAGAAAAAATGAAAGTGTAGCTAAGACATTTTATGCTTCACCACATGTACCACAAGTGTCAGATTTATACAGCTGAGCTCAGAGCTGAAATTTTACTTATGCTATTATAATGTCTGAATGCAAGATCTTCTTGGCTCATGCTAAGTATCATGCTTGACTCAGGGTGAAGCATTAGAATTGATATTCAATTATCTTTTTTCTTCTTCCCACCACATCAAATTGCCAATTTTACTTTCTCTTTGCGATACCCTGCTACACAGCAAACAAAGCTCAAGTGAAGCATATCAGATTCAAAGCCCGATGTTTCCATCCAGGAGAAAAGCAAACAAAAAGATAAAGAAAGGGAGTGAAATGGCCTACTTGCTTGCTTGAGTTGTGTGTGTGTGTGAGAGGTGAGCTACATTAACCAGGGTCATGGGCACTTCCAGTAGAAGTAAAGCAGTCATCTGCCTCTGACCTCAGCAAGAGCAGGGCACAGTGTTAGAAAGAGAAAGAGTTAGCAGCAGGGTAATTGGATCTCGGCATGGTTAACCATATCAGACTGTCAGAGAGAGCGGAAACGGGATGCTAGAATTGGTTTAGGCCGCCACCCCAGGCTTACGAGAGGGGGCTTTGTGGTGGGCACAAAGATCTCTGTCATAGATGCATCTTTTGTCTACACAAAAGATGTGAATTTTTTAAAAAGAAATTAATACTGTTATTCAGCTAGGATGCATTCAATTGATCAAAAATGAGAGTAACGACAATTATAATGTTACAAAAGATTTCTATTTAAAAAATGCTGTTATTATGAACTTTCTATTCATCAAAGAATCCTGACAAAGTATTACAGTTGCCACAAAAAATATTAAGCAGCAGAACTGTTTTCAACATTAATAATAATAAATGTTTCTTCAGCATAATTATACAAATTTCTGAAGGATCAGGTGACACTGAAGACTGCAATTATGCTGAAAATCCAGCTTAGCCATTACAGGAATAAATGACATCTTTACATAATTATATTAAAGTAGTACAATTATTTTGAATTGTAATAATAATATTACTTCTTACAGTATTTTTGATCAAATAAATGCAGCCTTTCTGAGCATAAGTGACTTTCATGACTCTTAATGTCTTCCATACAAAACACTAGACAGATGTAAAAACAACTTTTAGTCATTTTCACTTAAAAATAAACACATTTATAACATTATACATTTTCAGGCAATATTAGGCTAAATAAATTATTTGAATGTGTTTTATTGAATTTTATTGAATGTGCCATTTAAAATGAATGCAACAAATGTGTCAGTTAAAATTAGTTTTTTGGTTAATATGGGTTTCTTGGAATTATTATTATTGTTATTATTAAATTAAGATATTAGAAAATACTAGTGAATCCAAACAGAAGGCAAGACCAATAATGCAAAATTGTGTGAATACAACATTAAACAGTGGCCTTATTGATTTGTTATATTTATTTTGATACATTTTATTATTTGTCAAATTTGTTTTTGTTGATAACTTCAACTGTTTGATGTATCTCTGGGTTTTTAATCTCAGCCAACCGGAGATGCAGTGGCAAAACTAAAGAATGACCTTCAAGCATGACAGATGTTATTAAGAGTTCACGAAGAAGCGTTTTGTGGTTTGATCACCATCATGACAAGAGAAGAGAAACTGAAAAGACAGAACCTCTGAGAGAAGGAGAGAGAGACTAGTTTGATTTAGTCTGAACCACTTAAAAAATAAACTCTTTTTACTTGCTCCTTTAATGGGTCCCAGTCATGCTTAGCCATTTTCCCCTGGTATCATTACCTCTTCCAGTTGAGCAGGTGGTGTGTTAATTAGCCCTCATCACCTTAATGAAGCTTGACGAAGGATGAGAGGGAGTAGATCTCAGAGTATATGGGAGACCCCTCAATACAGCTGCTACTGCTGATATTAGATACGTTTATATGATCAACAGTTGTAAAAGCATCAGAAATAATTAATTTCCACCTATGGCAGCTTAATTTAACAGACGGTTCCATGAGAGATCCACAAGATTTCTGTAAATAAAACCCATTTTATATTTGCAAATGAACAGCCATAAAATATCTTTGTACACACGATATACTACAATTGAAAATGTTTCAGCACTAGCCTTTTAAATTATATTCGTTCAGTTTTTAAACTTCAAGACTACAAAAATGGCTTTAAAATGGCCATAATAGTATTTTACAGTACTTATGTGTACAGTGGGGATTTTTAAGACTGCAAGGGAAGCTCGGCTTCTCCTATAATGTAAAAAAAATAATGGTCAAATATGTACTATTTTGTTAACATTTTAATGACTAAAAATGCATTAGAACACGTTCATCTCGAAGACGAGTTCGTTCAGAATAGGTCGGCTGACTCGATTTCCTTCTCATACATTCCCGTAGTGTCACAGTGCATTTCCCTGTAGCGTCCATTGACTTCTTTGAACAGTTTTTTTCAGTGCTTCGAAACTAGACGGTCATTGGATAAATGGTGCGATTACGTCCCGCCCACGAACGCTCAGCGTCTCTGGGGAGGAGTGGGCTGGCCTGGACTCCGGGCTTCTGCGTGATGATTGGAGGGTCTGTCGAAAGACTGCATCTCCTTTTGATTGACAGCGATTTTGCACTATAAAAAGTCGCTGACACTGAAGCTATTCAAGCTCAGTCCCATTGGAGATTTTGCAAGTGTAGTCGAAAGACAAACTGCTGCAACCTATTTCTTGGTATTTGCTTGGCGAAATTGCTAGCCAATTTTCATCATACATTTCACACAATTATACACCACATTCCTTGTTTCAGTTTAACCTAATTCCCACATTTCCCCCTGCTGGTCATTAAAGTAACAACAGGTAGTTTTTTGCTCTCGGGCTCCCCCTACAGTTGGGAAACAGTATTGTCCTCTACTACTGTCGTAAACTGTCATCCTACATGCACGTGCATTTGTTGACAACCATGATAGCCCTGAACACTGTAGGAGGAGGTCACATGCAGGTGTTCCCGCGTGTGTGAAATGTCTTCATCCCAGGTACAGTGGCATATATTTCAGCATGTCATATGAATATAATTTCATGTGTTTTATTTTTTTTATAACGACAAATGATCGCGTTTACAAGCCAGCGTCATTATAGTAGCCTAGTCTATTGGTTACCGTTTTACTGAATCTATATGATACTTCAATGCAATGTTTGAGTGGTTGATAATAACCATATATCGTCAATATTATAATATCAAGCTACCATAAATGAATCTGCAAATTTTACAAATCGATTTGCATTATAGCTTGAGGCAAGACAAATAAACAAATATCATCGATTGCAAAGTTCAAATCAGAACAAGAATACTAGCGATAGCTAACCATCAAAAACTA